CACAAAAATAGTTTATCTCTTAATAGAGATCTCTGGCAGAAATCCTATTGATATAGAATAAAATATTGTTAAAACAAAAAATAACAAATATAATAATTATTAAATTCCATTTATTTATTTATTTATTATTATAATGTGGTATCGCTAAGTATTTGTCTGTTGTATTAAATTTAATTATAACGAATGAATCCTAATGATAATTCCAAATCGTTTGATATAAGCGCCATCTATTCGATCAAACAGATATACATCTGTGCTTAAAGCGAGACTGGTCTCTTGGGATTAAAGTTCAAGCTTTCGACACTAGATGGCGTTAAATCTAATTAAATTAATTAGGCGACTGTTGAATGATTTAAATATACAATTATTTAATTACTACAAAATGGTACAATATACAAATTTTAGACTGTATCCATTAATTGTTTTAGTAATTTTTAAATAAGGTTACTTTTCCTCATTATGCCAATCTCCTGATGTCAAGAGTTTATTAACCCCAATACTGCAGTAGTGTCCTGAAAATATTGCAGTATCCTACCTTTGATCGAGTTATTGAACAGTTTTCCTTAGCTGGAATTATTATTAATGTGATTAATTTCAGTTATTTAATGACGTGTTGCCTTCGATGTTACTTATTCCCGTATTTGTCTCGATACATACAAGATACAAGAATCTGTGTGAATATATATTAAAAAAAAATATAAAGACTCAGTGTTTTTTATATAAAGTTTAATTTTCTTAGTTATTTAGGTTTGTGTATGAAAAATTTCAAAACGTTTCCAATTTCCAATCGGTTCTTGTTAATGGAATACAAAACATATGGCGGGAGAACGCATTCCATAGCGAATATTCTGGATCATTCGTTCAGTGCTGCTTTAATTTTTGGAGCGAAATAAGTGTTCCATTTTCAAATTGCGTGGTGATATCCAATCAGAAATCAGTATGACTGGTGAGATATTTCGTATATTTTATTCATATATATTAATATATCAATTATTTAAAATATGATTGTGTTTATGACGTGTCCGTTGGCTGTCATCTTGTTAGTAAACAGGCGCGGCGTACATTACGAACGGGATATCTATATAGGCAGTTACAAGAATATCGCGAGTACACTATGAGAAAAAGCATCGCCTTTAACTGCTACTTGTAATACTTTTTTTTAACGGTGTCTTTTAATTTACTCTCGTTCTTTCTGTTCGTATTATGTTTTATTGATTTTTGTTTTTTATTCCTAAAAATTTAAGGTATTTATTTGTGCCAGTTTCATAGATTCCTTAAACAATATTTTGATCCATATAAAAACTTATTGATGTAAAACTTGTCATTACTCACTTGCTGATTTTTTTTTGTTATTGCTATTTAATAGTTCGTAACTGAGATATGTGTATATATTTTATTTTTTACTGTTATAGAACTCGATTTAAAATATAATTTTCATATACATAGTTATAATAGTTTATAAATTATTTATTGTAATGTATTGTGTGGCCGCAATAATTATGTTTTTTAATGACTTATTTTTCTCTGATAGTTAAAAACAGATTTTATTGCTACAAAACATATATATTTTTTAATAATTTTGCTTTATTTCTAGATCATTCAAGTGTTCATTGATATTATGCAAATATATATAATCTGTCAGATGAATATTTATACTCTGTTGTCGTAACTAACAATGCGTAATAGATTCCCGCCTACAATTTGATATTGACCTTACAATATCAAAAATTATATTTTAATAGTTAAATAATATTAAAATTATATATATGGCATTCGGTAACAAAAGTATTTGGTTGTTACGCTCTGTTGATTATAAGGCAATGACCATGATGCTTGTATTGTTTTTGTCGCTTTGTTTATGTCATGGGAGCCTTTGTCGTAACAAATGACAAAAGTTTACAGCTATACGACACTAAAAACAAAGCAATGGTATTGAATAGCTCGTTATAGGAAGCAACAGCTTACAGCTAGCAGCAACATTCCCTGAGCAACTCGTCCCATATTCCCTTACGTGGTGGCCAAGATCCGTAATACGTGCCCACCATTCGTTAAACGCCCACGGATCTGTACTACAGCTTCTATAACCCATCTTCTAAATAACGCCAGTCTTGTTGTAATCGTCGATAGTGTATGTCCGTTCGTAAATTTTTATACTAGTTTAGTTGAAGTTAGTGTGAGACGAAGTTGGAGCTTTATAAAGAATTTGATTGATATATGAAAAATAATTACGTGTTAAAAATATTAAGAATATTTTGCGGCTCGTATATTGTTTTTTAATTAACACTGTTGTTTTGTTCATGTTTTTAAATGTTGTTTAGTACTAGTGTTTGAAATTCAAGTGTGGTCGTATAGATCAAGAGTTAGTCAAAATTGAATGTATATCATTCGGATGACCAATATATGTTGATCTATATTCTATAAGTTTAGCAGGTTGGTTGGAACAGTAAGACATAGATTTAGGAACATTTAATCATTTTTTTTACATTCTATAAAATTCTTAGGACGAAATTACAAAGGTTCCGAGTTTTGATATGTATGTATTATGTATTTATTAATTTCCTATATTGATTTGCAAAATATTCCGCGATTCCAGTGCGAATGAAGCCATAGCATAAAAGGAAATTTTGTATATATAATACATAATGATTATCTAAGAGATTTAAATTAAATCCTCTTAAAGATATACATATGTAGTTCTTGAAGGTGTTTTTGGAGTAATTTTATATCGATAAAAAATATATACAGGGTGACTGGTGAATTACTATCAATATTTAAGGAGAATACTCGGTACATGATTCTCATTCGAATTATGTAAAAAAAATAGGCACTTAATTTTTGACAAAATTTCCGTATAAATAAGTAAAGTGTTGACACGTTCCAAGTGTTCAAGTGTGAAGGCGTGCGGCGGCGTGCTGATAGAACACCACGTCACGACACGCGTATGTGTGAGTGTCAGTGTATACCTAATCTGTAGGGTGTTCACACGATGCGTAATTAATTACATAACTTTTGGTTAACTTTACTTAGAAGTTTATTAATATTTATGTTATATTAATTTTTATTTTGTCATATATGATCGTCAAATATCACGTCCTCAAGTATCGATAGTAATTCACCAGTCACCCTGTATATTGTGTTTAATTAATATCAATAACTAACTGATAATTTATTATGTTTATATAAGTGACCTCGCACCCGCCACCCACCTAGGGTGACACCCACATCACCCTATTCTTTAATTAATCGAGTGACGTCACTGTCCATTCTGTTGATCCATAGATGGCCCTAATCAAGCAATAGTTTCCAACTATTTTTCATATACATAAATAATATATATGTATATATACAGTTAATATTTTAACGCCTACAATAATTATTATGTTAATTATATAACCTTATATGTATAAAATTATTTAAATGTATATTTTATTGAAGTATTTGAGATGATCGTGAAGCCATATCAAATTAAACGAGACTTCCTATCGAATGTTCAGAAAAAAATATGTAGAAATATTAAGTAATAAATAACAAACTTCTCGGATTGGAAACTCTTTACAATAAGAGACGAAACCTCTCAGCATTCAATGTATTCACGGTGCGTGTGCCGGGTCCACCGTTGTAGTGAGAGGAGCTTCAACAGTGACTGGGACTTGCGACCCAGGTGTAGGTTTAAGGAGCCTATATCTAACGTTAAACGCTCCCTCCACCGTCCAAGCTCTTCTCTCTTCCCAAATAAATTTAAAGAACCTACTAGAGCTAACTTCGACGTACATTCCAAGAATGAATTAATTTGCGTTCTGGATAGACCCAAGTCTTTTAGTAGGTTGTAGAATGACACTTCTACCGCGTACAAATCCACGACGAACCTATTTCGAGTTAGTTCGTTAGTGAGCTCGTAATATTTATTGATATTATATTATCTAATGCTTTGATGACTTATTGCTTTTTTATCGAAATCTGTAAGATGTTTATTTTGAATATTGATCAAAACGCGATCATAATTAATTGATTATTTTAACTTCAATAGTACAATATAAACGTCATTATTTCTGAAATTTAGTGACAAAACACACATTGAGGAAGTTTACAGATTGACGTATTATATGTGTGTGCAAGTTGTTGGGGTATGTAAAAACAACATGTTCAAATATTAAAATGCACTTTTAATTCATCTTATATATATAAAAGATTGTCGTGTTAGTTACATTATTTATTAATCAAGAACGGCTGTACGGTTTCACTGAAAATTTGTGGAAAGAAAGCTTAGAAGTAGGGAAAGGACATATGATACTTTTTATCCGTTTGAAAAAGAATAAAATCTTCTTATCCACCATCTTTAAGGAAGATTACAGTTCGCTCGGTCAGCTATACATTTCTAATTTTGAAACTAAAGCAGAAGAAGTCGCGGGCAAAAACTAGTTTTATATAATTAAATTCTACGTTCAACCGTTCTCGTAATTCTTTTAGGACGGCGTACAAAACGTACTTTTATATTAATTATTAAATATATAAAACAAAATATTGATATAAATAGATAAGGTTCAATATAGTTGTAAAAATAGTGTCAACAACTTTATGGTATAGTAAAAGAATATGAACACTGATTTGTGTTAATGAGAGAAGTGTATGTATGTGTATATATAGATTGTACCGCTTACGTTATTTCTGTTAGACGTTATTCTTTCCGGGCGCCGCTCGCCCACTGAACACGTAATACATATTACCTAATTTTGTTACCTATAAACATATAAGAATACATAATGAAAATTTAAAATACACGCGAAGGTTCGTTTGTGGGTCGATCATATCGGTGGAGTCTGCGGCGTTATGAAATATCGTCGTCAAATTCATCTAACTGACGGGAATAGATCGTCATTCGTCCGGCATCGCCCCAGCGATAACTTCGTCTCACACATAGCTAGTCCTCACCTAGACGCAGTCGTAGCCCGACTGCATTCGGAAACAAACATCTGCGCCTTTTATACCCCCAGTCGGAAGGGATGACGTCTGTGCGCACGCGCTCTTCATCCCCCAAAACGGTGTCGTTTTCACCTGTTCTCGAAAGGAAGTACAGTGTTTCGAAGCTGCCGCCAGAGAGACCAGAATTATCCTCGTCTGATTGGAGGAGATATTTCAATGATTTCAGTTCCTACCTAGGTGAGTACATAGAACATTTGGTGCTAAATGGTTCAGTTTCTATCGGGCGGCCTTGAGCTAATTCTGTAACGTTACTGGAGCGAGGCAAACAGTTTTACACAATTAATATATTCGATCTATTGTTATCAAATTTTTGATGACAAATTAATATTTACTTTATATGTGATAAATAAACTATCAATTTAAAACAAGAAATTTTGCATATAATTTCGTATTCCTAACAAAACTCAGTAGAGTGGAAGATATCACCTTATAAATAGAATTTAATATGTATATGTATATATAATACATATTAGACAATAGCACATAAGTTGTGTGATATGAGTGTCATTGTAAGATAACCTTCCGTCGCAATGCAATTATTTGTTAAAAATTGTTAAAAATAAAATTAACTATATTTTAGTTGATATTTATACATAATGAGTCAGTTGTGGCCTAGTGGTTAAAAGGCCAGCCTCTCATACATGAGGGCGCGGGTTCGATCCTGGCAAGTACTAATGTGATTTTTTGAGTCAACTGTACTTTCTAAGAGTATTAAGACATCACTGATTAAAGCATTCCCAAAGAGGGTTGATGTCAGACAGGCGGCCGGTCGAAAAAACAATTAGCCAAAACTATTCACAACATGTAAGGCAGACCCTGGCTAAAGCTTCGAAATTGCTAGGTAGAAGAAGATATATGTATTCTTATTTTTTTATGTTGACTATTGAAGTGAGTTTTTATATAGCAATATAAATAAAGTATATTGAATGTATATTGTAATACAATCATTATTTTACAAAATCTATAATTTCTCGTAATCATATCTTAACAGGCCAAATATTTAAATATATTAATATTTGATCAACTGGAAACGAACTATCTTCAACGCCTACACGATTTTAAATACATATCTTTACGTTGCTATTTTGCTTCAAGCAATTTGAAAGGCGTTTTATATTTAATAAAACGAATGTCTCCATAATAAAGAATATTTGTTTTGATATTTATTTTTAATATTATGCTTTTATGAATAATTTTATCGAATTTGATTATGTAATAACATTTGGTTATAGAGGTAAATTATAAAAAGAGTTACTTTTATTTAAAACGAATATGATTTTTAGTTTAATTTACTAAACATCAATGTTTTCTTATTTTACATTAAAAATATTTTCCTATAACAATGCAATACAAAATTTGCGGCTGAACAAAAAATAATGTAGTCCATACACTAGCTTTAAATTTATTTATATTTTTTGGGATGCAATTTTATTTTTGGTACCTGTGTGCTGGGTCAAAAGAAGGTTAACCCCAGGTTTGTGGGTTACCACTAATCACCTTTGTCTCCCAGTCGCTTTGGAAAAGGGGTTTTGAACACCATCTACAAACAATTTCTAAAGACATTTAAATCATATCTCTTCGACTATAGATATGGTCATCTTTTAAATTTCATTTGACACCACAAAAATAAAATACACCACAACCAACGATTTCTGTTATTATTTTTTAAAAGATAAAAAAATGTATTCCAATACAAATATAACTAATATTTTTGGATGCACTACGCGTACTTTGCAGCAACGGTTTCAAAACGTTGGAAGTTGAAATGTAAGGAATATGTAGTTTAAAATAATAAAAAAAATGTGTACATATTAGTTTTATGTAAATGAATACTCGCAAAACTCTTAAATATCATAATATATTATAATGTTTGTCCGTGAAGATACGATCCTATGTCCTCGGAAGACGAAACTCGTTCTGCTAATATCAACGATGGCAAATACGTTTATTTTTTATTTGGGCTTTTACAATAAGCCTTTTATAAACATTAACATATAATATTTACTATAGTATTTTTTTTTTTCCAAAAAGAGGGTTGATGTCAGGCAGGCGGGCCGGTCGTAAAAACAAAAAGCCAAAAACTATTCACAACATGTAAGGCAGACCCTGGCTATAGCTGGGAAATTGCCAGATAGAAGAAGATTATTATTATAACATTAAACAAAGTTCACTTCTACAGTAATCCAGAAAACAATTTAGATACAAAGTGATCCAAAAATTTTATGTCTTTTTTAGTAGTCTTGGTTGAAACGTTACACATTTTTTCTTTTATACATCGCAAAAGGATTTAATTCTGTTATATGTACTTAAATTATTGAAATACCATATCACTATCATACATGTTTACTACGTCTAGTATAAGCAGGTCTCAATAAAAATATCTGTATACATATTTATTCCGTGTAAACTTAAAAGTATAAGACAAATTCCGCGCAGCACTCGTCACCGCATGACGCCTCCTCAGTCCTCATTATCAAAGCAGCGTCAGCACCATTCACGATTACATCTTAAAGCGACGAAAGCGCTTCAAAGTCAATTAAACTACCACAAAAACATGAAATTTCCTTACTTTTTGTTTTCAAAAACATGATATCATATTAAACAAATATTGCAAGAAAATAATGCGCGTAATGTAGCGAAAATTTTCATTTATATTTTACGATTAAATTTGATTGATATAAAAATTTTGTTTCCTCCCAAAATAACAATGGCATTTGAATTATTTACGTGAATAATTCTTTAGTGTGTACGTCAGCGGTTACACGGTCCGCGCTTGAGGTGAATCAGTACAGTATTAGTCCATAACAGAGTAGCGCGCCTCGTATGAGGGTTAAAGATTTTTTTTTCTTTGTTCCCATATTTCGTTGGCATTCGCGATTTTACAGCCAGTGTTGTGTAGCAAGGAGGTTTGAAAATAAATATAATGTCGAAAGCTCATTACTCTGTGAACGATGATGTTTATGGTAAAATATTGAAAACCAATACTGATAGTAAACCCCAAACGGATTACTCGGACGTGTTTGAAGCTGTGGAGGGACTTGGTACATATATTTTTATTATCTCATTTCACAATATAACAGTGAGCTCTTTAAGTGTGATCGTTAAATTGAACTGTTCTCTAACTGAGCGTCTTTGTTGGTCTTGAATAGACAGCAATTGATTCATACCACGACCGAATGCACGATTCTTATATTTACATCCAAAATTTAATTCGTGTCAATGAACTCGACCGAAATCAAACCAGTCTGGTAAACTGGATGTCAAGGACGGGAATGATTTTTGTATGCAAATATAAAGAAATTTACATTTAAAGCAAACATGTTTAATATACTAGCTTTCCGCCCGCAGCTTCGCCCGCTTGGAGTTCGGTTATATCGCGTTTCCAAGAGAACCTTTCAAAAGTCTAGGGATAAAAACTATCCTATGTTTTTTCTCTGTACCAAATTTCATTAAAATCAGTTCAATGGTTTAGGCGTGAAAGCGTAACAGACAGACAGAGTTACTTTCGCATTTATAATATTAGTAGGGATATAAGCATATACCATGATATATAAAAATGTTGGCAATAATTTAACATCAAATGTGTTCTTCATTGAACCAATTAGGATATTCGTTTTAACTGAAATGACATCAGCGATTTAATGAAACACACCAATTATGATACACATTCACAACAAACAAACTACATTGTTATATAAATACTAAATATAAAATAATTCATGAATGTATGAAATCAATACATATACGAAAGAATTGAAATTATTTCTCAAATATATCTGTTACTTATATAACAGCTTTCATGTTGAAATTGCTTGGAGAAGCTTAAATATGTATAAAATTTTGAATAGGTATAAACTTGAACTTCAAATGAAATTTTATATTGATATCTCGTCTGCCTATACCTAACGCTGTCAAAGCCAAATTGAAACTAAAATATCTGCTCTTGATCACGGTTGCAAAGTAACCAAAACATCGGGACTCGGGAGTATGGAGTTAAAATAATAAAATACGCCTAGTAGTTATAGGAATTCGAAGAATTTTAGTTTAATTTTATTTATATGTTATTATTAATTGCAGATGCCCTGCTAGCTGATCTTCAGAACTCAATAAATCCTGGTAGAGTGAGCAGTCCGGGAAGAACCACGTCGCCTGGAGGAAGAACAGCTTCGCCAGGTCGAACCTCTTCTCCGTTGGGTAGAGGCAGTTCTCCGGGCAGCCTCAGCTCCCCAACCTCAACTGGTTATGGTTCCATCAATGGCTCGAGGAACATCAGCTCGGATTACGCCAAACCCGCTTCCGTAAGGATCAAATACCTATATAGGGTCTTGTATAGACACTTTGATTTCCGATAGATTTTCTTTTACTTATTATTTTAGTAACCCAAAGACGATATTAAAACTTTTAATTGAATTAAACTATGTATAATGTATATTCTCGTGCATAAGGGCACGGGTTCGAAACCTGGCAAGTGCCAATGTGATTTTTCCGAGTCATATGTACTTTCTAATAGTATGTGGACACCACTGACAGACAGTGAAGGAAAAACATCGTGAGGAAACCTGGAATTATAATTTCACAATTATTAGTCTGAAATATTAAATCGTTTAATCTTTAAAACGCGCTAATTATTAAGTTACATAATTTACAATTAACTTGATGATATTTAGATATTTGCATTGAAAAATGACATATAATGAATTACGAAATATTCCGTAGATTACTTATATTTAATAAAAAAATCTTTTAATACAAAACCCAGAAGATATACATTCAAAGATTTAATAAAATTATCTATTAGATTCAATTTTCATATAACACGTTGTACTACATACGAATAGAACTATTTCGTGTGTTTTTTGTAAGGGAGAGGTAATCTTTCGCTGGCTCAGCGCTATCAGTCATTATCAGTGAACCTACAAAGGGATCTTGTGTCAGCATCCCAAATATTAAAAAGCGGCTAATGATAACTTTTATCTTAAGCAGATTTAATTTAGTGACAACACGATATAACTGGCAAATATATTATGAAAAGGTGATATATATACCATAGAGTTCAGGATAAAAGGTGTATAAATTGTTTATGGTTTGTTAAAAAGTTTTTATACCTAAGCGTTTATAATTACAATAAAAAAGTATTATGTCTTTATTATAAAAATTCGATCTCTGAGAAAGATTTAACGTAATAATATTGAATATTATACTCGTCTGGTTTATAGTCACGTTGAAGTAGAAAACTTATATCTAGGTACGTGTAATCAGAAAAAAATAATATTGAAAAAAATTAAGGCGATTCACACATATTCATTGATAAGAGGAAGTCTTTTTACAAATTTTCTACATACAAAATTTGATTGAAACTATTACAGTCAAAACATTCTTAAATCTTTATTCCCTCAAATTATATTATTTGCATTCAAAAACAATGAAAATTTCCTATCAAATAGCAAAAAGAATTTCTTGAATCGATTAAATCTTACGATATTTGTAACAGTGATGACTGATGAGCATTCGACCACAACTTAGTCACCAAACCCAATAGGGACACTGCCCTTTGTGTACATAATAATTTATTTCGAACTCTAAATATATTGGGATTAGATTTAAAACTGATTGAATTGTATTATACTTATGTTTAATAGTAAAACAAACTTTATAATCTATAATAATCTTTATTAGTGACCTGTTTTGTTTGTATTAAAGGTCTATAAAGAAAGTATTATTCCGATATAAATTGTAAAAGATTTCTTTAGTGTGATTTACCATGTTCAGTTTCGCTAAGTACGGAACCTATGAAACTTTAAAAATATTTAAGAAATTATCCTTTGATGCATTATAAACTCAAAGGATTTTGCTTAATTTATTATAAAGCTGTTATCCTGTTATATTAAATATGAGAGGGATAGTAAGAACGTGTGGACATTTGTGGCTCTTTCACGTAAAAACTAGTCAAAGAAAATTGATCAAACTTTACAGAAATATAGTTTAGACGTCAGAACGAGACATAGGATATATCCTAAAGTATAATTTGACACAAAATTATGTGTAATTGTTATCGCAGAATGAAGGTGCATTGGGTATGAAGTCCCCTATCTATATAATATATATGTACATACATAGCTGCCAGCAGTAGTTTATTGTCTTAATACATTTTTCCGGCCTTAAATCCACTGAAAACAAAGTCGCGGGCACAAACTAGTTATTTTAATATACCATTCAAAAAACGTACTGTATAAATATAGACGTTAACAAAACTTAAGTCTACAGAATTGTTAAACAACTATTTATGATATACAAAAATTTATGCGAAAATTCTCAGAATAGGCGCGAGGTGAATCGAACTTGGTTCTAAGAAAACCGTGATTTGTTTATCACGTCTCGTGACAATGTTCGTGTATTACATTCAGAGGTATAAGACTATTGGCTCTATATCAGTGGTTCCCAACCGGTGGTCCGCGAACGAATTCAAAACTGTTTTAAATTTTATTAATGTTTTGATAACATATTTTTCTTGATACAAAACATTGATTTTTTATTAAAATATTTTCTTAGTCATTCACTTTATTTTTTATACAAAGTGGTTATATGCGAACAACAGAACACTAAGTGGTCCCTGGTCAAGAAAAGGTTGGGAACCACTGCTCTATATAAATCCTCAGTCATAACTATCGTATTTGTTCATACAAGCGAGGCTAAAACAGTTCAAAGGTCCTTTCCTATTTATAATGGGAATTGTTGTTAAAGATAAAACAAAAACAAAGTATCTCTCTATTAATAAGATGAAAAAACCTTTTCGAGGTATATGGCTTGTTATATGATTTAAAATTAATTTTTTTACTAAAGTTTATATTATATTACAATAGGTATATGTAATTATAAACACTAAAACAATATTTATCATATCATCTAAATTAAGAAATTATTATCATTATTATAAAAAGCGCCATCTCTCTGATTTTATAGGAACGTTGGTTTCGATCTAGTATTGCATTTATAACAGTTGGCAAGATGTCAGCTTAGGGTAATAAAAATAAGAACTAGATGGCGCTGTTTATAGTTTAAGTTTACATTGTAAGGAACAAATTTATAAACTGTATATAAAGAGTTTTAGTATGAACATTAAATAGTATATGTTATCATTAGTCGATCTTATAGGAGATAAAGTTTTAGGTCTTATCTGTTTGGAATGTATTAAAGATATATAGTTTATTCTTTAATTTTTTACCTAGGAGTATAAAATTCATTTAAATAATTGAGGCAATCCTGTAACATAACGTACAATACTAATATATGAACAACGTATTTGTTTTCAAATGTCAATTATTCTACTCCCACTATTCTTATAATGAACACTATTGTTTCAAGATAATTGGTTATTTTTGCAAAAAATTAAATATAACATAAAACTAATGATAATCTATTGTTTACAGCCGACCTATCAGAACACAACATCTGTTCACGAAAAGAAGTTCACGAATTTCACCAACTCCCCGGCGTACACGCCACAAGCCACCAGCCACACTCATAGCCACATCCACAGTCAAAGCCATAGCCACAGCCAGCCCCAGCCAGGCTATGGCCGGACCGGTAGGAACCTGTCTGAACTCGACACCCTCTTGGACGACCTGAGCAACGCCAGATACGGCAACTATGTGGACAAGTCATACAACACTTTGCAAACTGAGAGAAATGGTAAGCAAAATTACTCTTCAATCTTCTATAACAGATTCATTATATTGAAATACTCAAGAAATATGACCTTTACTAAAACTGTTCATATAAAAAATGCTGAAAGATTTAATTTTTTTCTGTCAGTAACAGATATCCATTGCATATATATACACTCTATATATGTATATGTGTGTGTGTGTGTGTGTGAATGTGTGTACCTGAGCTGTCAAACATATATCCTATAACTTTATACAAAATATGCTTATTTGAAGATGTGTCAGAAGTTTCATAATCATTTTTTTTTTCAAATATAAATATATGATCATAGACTATAAATTCTATAAAACTTTTATTAATACACCGAACATCCAAAGATATATAGATATGACATAAGCACTCCATTTGTAAGATCAAAGCCCACACTCACCGCTGAGATTAACTTTATAATTGAGTAAGTCAGTATATATATACAATGGATATTTTACTCTGACTGATATTAGTATATTAATAAATCTATCACTATCAATTTAGCAGTAATAAAATTATATTTAAATTATTATATATGGTAACTTTGTATAATCAATAATTGGTTCTGGCAACACTAAGAATATATGTTTCACAATTAATAATCCTATGTTTCTGACATTAGTGATTCCAAACATATGATTTATTTCAAACACTATGTATATCATCTGTCTTTGCTTACATTATTATAATATATATTATATACTTTAATAATAAATAAAAAAAATAACTCAAACTAAGACCGTAATTTTCATACTGTTATTACAAGTTTTATATTTAACGAAAATTTCAAACTGTTCTGTTCATAGCTTTATTCAATATTATTATTACATATAAATAAAAGAAGGAACAGATATTTTTTATGTTTGTGTAAAGGAAGTGACGTATATTATGTTTGGCAGCCAACAAGTCGGTTCGATCTATATTTATTGACTGAGTTTAAATAATGATGTAATATACATTACAATATATATATGTTAGTTTTTGCCCGCGACTTCGTCCGCGTTAGTTTCGTCATTAGTAATATGTGTATAGCTGACCGGGCGAACTCTATTCATCGACCACAAAAGTAAAGAAAGTTTTCACAAAGGTAGATGGATGCACTCATAGAATATCGTAAATATCGTAACACAATATCATCAATCGTAATACTTTTTTATTTGTTCTGATTATTTTATTTATATTTTTGGAGCCATAAATCTCCGTTTTCTGAAGTGCGATAGAATAATTGACATATTAGATAGTTGTCAAATTTAATGAAAAAAAAACGTTTGTATGGGAAATAGAAAAGGACTGTTTTTAGATTTTTCCCGGAAATGTAAAAAAAATTTTCAGCTTTTAAACCTTCCCTGAACCTCCACGAAAATTTCAAGACTAAGATAAATCCGTTCAGCCGTTCTCGAGTTTTAGTGAGACTAACGAACAGAAATTCATTTTTATATACATAGATTGTTACGCGTAACTTCATTGAAATACATCTTTTATAACGTTTTCCAGAATAACTAGAATAGAGGTGTTAAATTGTACCTTATTATTCTAAAGTTTTATCAATATGGAATCAGTCGTTAATCCCAGTAGGATTATTGTTTAATCTTGGCCTATATAATTTCGGGTACTATAAAATAACTGTGAAATAAAATGCATAGGATACAAAAAAATCTTCTCTTTTAATATAGATTTTATATCTGATATTAAACTACGTCATAAATGGGTTCCGTTGAATGTGACGATCGTGTTTTCATTTGACCTCTAACTCTGAGGAAAACCATTATCAAGAATATGGGACGTAAAAATTTTCATACGATACAATTTTCTTTCGTTCAAAAAATAGTAATATATTCGGATTTGTAGGCGTCTTTTATTATTTTAAACTATACACTCCTAACATTTTGATTACTTTACAGCAATCGTGTTAACGCGCAGACAAGATGTGAATGCTAATTAATTTTCTTCTATTATTTAATTCCTGATTTCCTTTTTGATTCGTTAAAATTAGTTTACATAATTTTAGTCCTTAATTTCCATCTCTCTAAATAGTAGATATGTGACGTAAAAATAGATACAGACTACACGCCTAAAATTCTCTTTTCTCCTTTATATGTCTGTCTGTTGTTCGGTGAAACTCGTAAACTTTCGTTACATCTATACGATAGTCATGTCTAGTCTTCTTCTTCTACCTGATAATTTTCCCAGCTATAGCCAGGGTCTGCCTTACATGTTGTGAATAGTTTTGGCTATTTGTTTTTACGACCTGCCGCCTGCCTGACATCAACCCACTTTGGGAATGTATAAATCAGTGATGTCTAAATACTCTTAGAAAGTACATTGGTACTTGCCCGGGCCAGGATCGAACCCGCGCCCTCGTGCATGAGAGGCGGGCCTTTTAACCACTAGGCCACCACTGACTTGATGTAGGTATTGGTCTAATAGATGTATGTACATATTGTCTTCTCCAACGAAACCGGGTCAAGTAACTAGTTAATGTCCAGTATACTAACTAGCGTATATGTCGTTCAGCTTGGCATTGACTAGTTCCCCCTCCCCCCTCCTCATCCAGCCGATGTATTTCCCATTGTTTTTGGCCCCACTTTCAATTCTAATTTTAACGCAATTTCTATTAGTGTAGCGTTAACTGAAGACGATCTTGCTATTATGTAACGTGCTCATTATTTTTACATATTGATGTTGTTTTATTATTATTTTAATGCAAATGTAAAAAATGCATTCTGAAATTTAATTTGGAGCTTAATAGATAAATAATACATATATTCAAAGAGAATAATTTAAAAAAATCTATATGAAACTAAAAGTACAAATAGCCTTTAAAGTTTTCTTTATAAAAAATGTATATAAAGTAAAATTATACATTCATCAAACAAATTGTTTCAAATAACATATAATTCTCTTTGGCCTTCAATCCAACACTGTATACTTTATTTAATTTCTTATTATTTGACCTCCCTGACAGATGTCATAGTTCACACATTCCTTGGATGTATGTTATTAACACGTTCCACATATAATTTTATTTACTGGCAATAATTGACAGTTATTTTTTTTTAATGACAAGTGACAGTTAAAAAATGACATTTGTAAAATATGACGTAATTGCTTGAATTGCTTAAGATTATTCATCCAAAAAATAAAAACTTTAATATCAGCTGAATATTTTACGATTGCAGTGCGAATAAAGCCATAATATAAAAAAATATATATAAATCGCTAAAATTTGATTCTAGAATTTCAAATTAAGTTTAATTTATGAATAGATATCTGCCTTCTCATTTCTTTATATGAGATGAAAAGAGACAGCATGACTTTCAAAATGTCGCTAATATATGTAAGTTAGATTAATATTGTATTTTTTTGATTTGTAGATAGCTATTCTCGTACCAATGGTGCCACAAGCCCTTCGTCCAGGCCGACTGTGGACTCCTTACTGGATCAACTCAGCACTGACGTCACTAATGGGTGAGTTTATTTCGTTTATTTACAATATTACCAATATTTAATATTAAATTACGCATGAATATTATTAACAATTAGAGCAGCCTGTCTCAAAGTGGGAGATAACACTAGCTTTTGACGCTGTAGGCCTAAAGACAGGGCTTTAAGAGACACAAAAAAAAATAGACGTTGTGTAGGCTATAAAGGATTAGGGGATGATTTGTAATTTCTTTTAGCTAGGATATGTTATACTGGCTTTTCAGCGAATAAAAAATATATTCTCAAAGTAGGCAGTACATAAAATTAATTTGGGAACCCTTGAAATATAGAGATAAAATCGTCTATTAGGTACCTATTCAAAAACTTTTTTCAATTTTGAAAAATTTTTAATTCGTCAAATATTTTCGTATATTAAATATAAATTATCTATTCTCATCATAATAAACATCACTATATCGAGACGGACACATCTCAATGTAAATATTTATACAAAGCATACAACGTGTGTCTGGATAAAATTTAATGTCCGTTTGACGGTCGCCAAATCATTATAATAATTTTATAACAAATATATTTATATAAATTTTGAATATAAATCCAGGTCAAGTACACCTAAATATATGTATGTACTATTATCAGAGTGAAATCAAGACTTGAATTATCTTTAAATACATTTATCTTTAAATATATTTCACATTCAACTTTGATGTTGCAAATGTATGCAGGAGAAATATTGTTATTGAAAAAAGTACTTCTGAGTATATTTGATTGAAAATCAACCAAAATCAATCAAAATCATGCAATTTCAATCACAATTTTTATTGCTATAGAAAATAGAAATATTATGTATATACTTATACCACGCAGTATATATATACATGATTACGATCTCCGTCCGTCCGTTCATTGATTTTGGAAAAGATTTTATTTTGTCTAGTGGGCCGTGTGGAAATTATATTTTGGTAACGTCTCTAAATAGATCATACGTCACACCGGCTCCTGATAATCACTAGGAAAACCGAACTATACATACATACATACATACATAGGTTCAGTAACAATACTAGTCTTTTACAAAGTACTAAGGAAATTGACTAATTATATAACACTAGCTTTCCACTCGCTGCTTCGCCCGCGTGGAGTTCGGTTATATCGTGTTTCCAAGAGAACCTTTCAAAAGTCTGGGATAAAAACTATCCTATGTTCTTTCTCAAGGTCAACTCTATATCTGTACCAAATTTCATTAAAATCAGTTCAGTGGTTTAGGCGTGAAAGCGTAACAGACAGACAGAGTTTCTTTCGCATTTATAATATTAGTAGGGATTGTAGTATATATTTATTATATAGGGGAGAGTCGGATATATCGTACCACTTTTCACTTTAACTCAAATATTTCGACTATAACACGTCTTATAATAATTAATACATATGTAAAATAAAGTTTCATATTTTAGCTTCCTAAGGAGAAGAGAACAGATCCTTGCGATTACTCTAACATTGTTAAAAATGCTTTTTTACAGAGGCTTGCCATTGGTACGATTTAGCCGACTAGTCGTTTTAATCGTACCACTAAGTCTTTAAATCGTACCATGGGTGTTTAAGTCGTACCACTGAATGAAAGACATTAAAATTCTCAATCAAATTATTTATTTTTAACTGTTAGGTAAGTAATGAAACAACATTATTTATATCTTTTAGGTAATAGAAACATAATTTTTAACTCTTAGGTTATATAAAGGAACTATAAGCTTTCTCAGTAAAATAACATGATTATACTATGATAATGAGATCAATCAACATAACTAATAAAAATGAGACAAAAAAAAACAGTAAACTATAATAATAAAGTACCAGTTAACAAGAATGTTATTTGTAATATAATTATTGTGCATATTTCTTAATGGAAACAATCATGACAAATGTCTGGATTCGAAGTACATGTCTCATGTAGCCACCGTTTACAGCGAACGTATTGAATCCAATCAACTTTTGGACCCTTCTTATCGTAGTAAGAACAATTGTACTTTCGATATATATTTTCAAGATAATCATTGCCGTCATCATCATCATCTAGTTCTACAACAAGTGTCTCTCCTGAATCATCGCTACTGGTGATGGAATGAGATCGTTTCCTCTTATAACTTTTGTTTTTGGCCTTGGGTAGTACTTACTATACGTACTTGCGGTAGTACTATAGGTACTTGCGGTTGGTAGTCGGGTAAATCGTACCAGTACAATTTAACCAACTGCAAGTGGTACGATTAAACCGACTAAGGCATTTCTAAAACAAAAGCAAATATCCGGCATAAACTCAAAACTGAGACACGCAACAAAAACACCCAATAATCTAGTATACAATTGTGGCATAATAAAAAAAAACTGAATAAGGTAAGCTACCTTGATAACGAGTTATCTCCTTACGAATGTACGACAATATTTATATTAATTCCTAAAAAAAATGTTTTTCTTTTATTACGTGCACAGTTGTTAACTCACGTTGATTTAAACTAGTGGGTGAAGAGGGATGGTGCAGGGCCACGATTTGGTATAGTCAGTGTAGAAAAAACTATTCATTAAATGGGAAATTTAGAAGTGGTACGATTTAAATGCTAGTACGATATAACCAACTCTCCCCTATATAATGTATATTCTTGGCCACAGTTTTGATATTGATTTATGATTTCCCCAAGTCAGATCGAAGTTTAATATACGTTCTAATAAAAAGATACAAAAAAATCTCTTGTAACGTTACCCTATAAACAAAAATATTACCCTACAAATAAGGTACTATTTTGACACTACAAGCCGTCTCTACAACCCATTGTCGGTTTTCCCTAAAGAAAATATCCTTTTTACCTTAAAACTTCATAAATAAAATTCTAAGAATCCTTAATATAATGTAATAATTGTTGCCAAACAATTCTATTTCTAATACGCATTGGTTGACCACTTCGTCCCTAATGGTCCTAGCAGCTGGTCAAATAAATCAGAATAGTTATTATCTGTGCGGGATAGCATCAGAGAAATAATATAGAAATAAAATATATAGTTAAAATAAATAGCGATAGAAACTATGTAATATGTAATATAAGAAATAGCGTAAAATTAATGTAAATAAACAGCTAAGTATAGTAAATAAATAATATAGAAAATATGTATAATGTAAAATAAGACACAACTTGTAACTGTAAAATGATCATATACGCAACTACGCTCAACATCGCAAGCTCCTGATTGGGCGAGCGCCGGCGCGCTCGCTCAAACACCGGCAAGGCGCGGTGAGATCACCGCGCAGGTATAAAAGGCCGGCCGACGGGCCGACTCAGCGCAGTCAGTGAGCGGAATTCATCGGAAGAACATCAGTCAGCGGAACTCAAGAACTACGGAAGACTTCAACAGCGAACAGTGAAACGGAAGATTATTAACAGTGTTCAGAATTGTAATTCGTGTAGAAAATAAATAGTGAATAACCGAACCAGCGCATAGTTTTAATGTACAAACCCGTACATTAAATGGTCCTTCGAGCCGGATAGTATAGAAGAATCGGTTATCGAAGAACACGAAGATCGTCAAAGAACACGAAGATCGTCGAAGAAATACGAAGATCGTCGAAGAATGCCGATCACTCGCTCTGAAGGAAAAGGTCGGAAACTGCGATCAGTACAACAATCCTCGTCCGAGGAGACGACCACGGGGACATACGACACGGAGACAACGCCTTCTACGATGTCATCAACGCCTACCGTAACAGGTGACGGCACCAGTGCCGCCGTCGCCCCACCCCCCGTTATCGCCGCAGTTATCGACGCATCCGCTACCTCGGTGAGAGGCGTTCAGTCAGTGACGCCCTCCGCCGCGCCTACAGTACAAGTGGGATCGAAGATGAAGCCGCCTGCTCGACCTGTCACCAGGGTTGACCCAGCAATCAACCAGGGAGCGGAACCTGGCCTGCCACTGCCGAGCGGCCAGCCGAAACCCCATACACCGAGCAAGAAAGGCTCGACAAGGTCTAAGGCTCATAAAATAGCCAAGGCCAGAGAGGAGATGCTCCGACTACAAGTGGAGCTCGCCGCCGCTCGTCTCGCCTCCTTAGAAACGGAGGACACCGAGGACGAGGAAGACGACGTGACGGTTTACTCTAAGGAGGAAGCAACCGACAAAGTCGACAGCTGGTTGAATAACCAGACCGACAAGCCGACGTTACCCGCAGAGCCTGTGCCAGTAGATGACAGGGCGGGACACGAAATACCGGTGCCGAAGCCAGTGGTTCAACAACAATCGACGGAGAGCAAGACAGATATCGCCGCCCTCGCCGAAGCAATCACACGTGCCGTGAGTTCGAGCCACCGACCGAGATTAACGGAACTGCCATACTTTGACGGATCGTATCAACAATGGTTACCGTTCCGTGCCGCATACTATGACAGTCATAGTCACTTCACAGCAGTGGAGAACACAAACCGCCTGAGAAGGGTTCTAAAGGGAAGAGCCAGAGAGGCGGTCGAGGGGCTGCTCATTACGAATACGCAGCCAACGGATATTATGAAGACTCTTGAATCAAGATTCGGGAGACCAGAGACCATCGCCATGATGGAGATGGAGGCATTACGAAGCCTAACCCGCCTCACAGAAACACCACGTGATGTATGTATTTTCGCCACCAAGGTGTCAAACATAGTGGCAACGTTGAAAACGATAGACTGTGTCAACTACTTGTACAACCCAGAAGCCTCAAAAACGGTAGTGGACAAGATGACACCAACGCTGAGATACCGTTACTACGACTACGCAGCGACACAGCCAAAGGAAGAACCGGATCTCATTGTAATGGAAAGATTCCTCAGAAGAGAGGCTGACCTATGCGGGAAGTACGCACAGCCGGAACAAGTCGCGGCTAGTACTCAGAAGAGAACCCAGAAGATTCTCAAACTGTCGGAAAAGCCATACACACCGAAGTGTCCAGTATGTGATACAACGGGGCACCCAGTGAACGAGTGTGAAAAGTTCAAACAATTGGAACTGAACGACAGATGGGAGACGGCTAAGGCCAAGCATCTGTGTTTCAGGTGTCTCCGCTACAGGAATAAAACACACCAATGCCACACGAAGGCATGTGGTATCAACAATTGCAAGCGTACACATCACAGAATGCTACATAAGATGGAACAAAGGCAAGCGGAGACACCTGAAGTAATAAATTCGACTTGGGTAACGGAAAGGAAACAGTCATATCTGAAGATTGTCCCCATAAGAGTGAAAGGACCGAAGGGCACATCGGACACATACGCCCTATTGGACGACGGGTCAACGGTCACTCTCATCGATGAGAGGCTGGCCAACGAAATAGGGGCGAAGGGACCCCGAGACCCGCTCAGAATAGAAACTATAAACGAGATGAAAGCATCAGAAACTGAGTCGAGGCGAGTCACCATAAGGGTGAAGGGAATCAGCAATGAAGAAAGACGAATCCCAGCACGAACGGTCAAGAACCTCAATGTGTCGTCTCAGCGAGTACCAAAGCAGCTGGTGGAACGATGCAGCCACCTAGCTGACCTAAAAGATCGCCTGTGGTACACGCACGCCAAGCCACAGATATTAATCGGCCAAGATAACTGGCATCTACTACTGGCCTCACAGACAAGAGTGGGGCGCAAGGACCAACCGGTGGCATCTCTTACGCCACTGGGATGGGTACTGCACGGAAGCCAGACAAGGACCCTCGGGAGGAACATCAACTTCATTTGCCACATAACCGAGGATCCTGAAGAGGGTTTGAAAGACCTCGTAAAGCGATACTTCGAGATGGACGCGCTCTGTCTGAATCCAAGGAGACCTAACACGGATCCCGAGGAGCGCGCGCTGCAGGTACTGGAAAGGAACACCGTACCAACCGACGACGGGAGTTACCAGACAAGCTTACTTTGGCGCAAGGAAAACATATCGTTTCCCGACAACTACGAGAGCGCGCTAAAGAGACTCCATGCCACGGAAAGGAAGATAGATCGCGACCCGAACCTCAAGCGAAGATACAACGAGCAAATGGAAGCGCTCGTAGCCAAAGGGTACGCCGAGATAGCACCGAAGCATAAGACTCCGAACAAGACGTGGTATCTACCACACTTTGCGGTGATTAATAAGATGAAGCCGGACAAATTAAGAGTTGTTCATGACGCCGCAGCCAAGACGAAAGGGGTCTCTCTCAACGACATGCTACTCAAGGGGCCGGATCTACTACAATCCCTACCAGGAGTCGTTATGAAGTTTCGTCAGCACAAGATTGCAGTCACTGCTGACATAAAGGAAATGTTCATGCAAGTCAAGTTACGAACTGAAGATAGAGATGCACTCCGTTACCTATGGAGAGGAAACAGGAGGGATGACTCACCTCCGGAAGAATATAGAATGACGTCGCTCATATTCGGAGCATCTAGTTCACCGTCAACGGCAATATATGTCAAGAACTTGAATGCGAAGCGACAAAAGGACTCCTACCCGGAAGCCACGGAGGCCGTAATCAACAAACACTATGTTGACGACTATCTGGACAGCTTCAAAACCATCGAAGACGCTATACGGATCACCAAGGACGTTCGAATAGTCCACAGCAAGGCGCACTTCGAGTTAAAACAGTGGAAGTCGAACTCGGCAACGCTTCTGGAAGCCTTAGGGGAAAGAGAGCTACCAAAGGACGTGGAACTACACACCACAAATGAGAAAACGGAACGCGTGTTAGGCGTGATGTGGAAGGTGAACTCGGACGAGCTCTCGTTTAACTTAAACTTGGCGGGCACACCCGCGGAAGAAGCGTCAATCGAAAGACCGACAAAACGAGAAGCCCTCAGGATTGTGATGTCACTTTTCGACCCGCTCGGGTTTGCATCTCCGGTGACAATCAAGGCCAAGCAAATCCTCCAGGAAGTCTGGCGAAGAGGGACGGATTGGGACGAGGAATTAGAGACAGATCTCGCCGAACAATGGCACGAGTGGATGATCCACCTTAGAAATCTCAGCCAGGTCGCGATCCCGAGGTGCTACATGAATTACAGCGACGCAACCTCGCTGCAACTACACGTCTTCACCGACGCGAGTGAGTCAGCTTACGCAACGGTGTTGTATTGGAGAACAATGATGCCAAGCGGAGAGATTAGGGTGTCACTAGTCATAGCGAAAGCGAAAGTGGCGCCTTTAAAGCTCACATCAGTGCCAAGGCTAGAGCTGCAAGCCGCTGTCATGGGCACAAGACTAGCCACAACGGTAGTGGCCGAGCACGAGAGGAAGCCCGACACCACAGTGTTCTGGTCGGACAGCAAAACGGTACTCACGTGGATAAGGAAAGGGTCACGGTCTTACAAACCATACGTGGCCCATAGACTGGCGGCCATCGAAGACGGGTCGGAATCGAACAGCTGGCGGTGGGTGCCATCAAAGCTAAATGTCGCAGATGACGCGACAAGGGACGTCCCACACAACTTCAGTACAGAACACAGGTGGTACAAGGGACCGGAGTTCCTGTACGAGCCCGAGGCCTCCTGGCCAACCGAAACACCCACGCCAGCCTCGGAAGAATCTTCGAGCGAAGAGAGAACACACCACGTGAGCACTAGGAATGCAACAAGACTAGCGGAAGGGCTACCAGACCCTGCTAGATTCTCCAGCTGGACGAGACTAAGACGCTCTACGGCCAGAGTCCTCCAGTTCATACACTTATGCAGGACAAGTAACCAGGAGGTACACTACGCTCGGAACAAAAGGAACAAAGAAAGGGATCCAGAATGGATCAAGAAAAGGACACTGATTACGAGTAGGCCGCAGAGAGAACAAAAAAGACCACTGACCGTGGAGAAAAAACTGCTCTCAATCCCGGCGGAGATACTGAGAACGGCGGAAGAGCTGCTAATGCGCTCATCACAAGAGGATTCTTTCGCCATAGAAATATCCAAACTAAAGAACGGCGAACAAATCAACAAGGAGAGTCGTCTCCACCAGCTGAGTGTCCAATATAGCAAAAGGGCAATACGCATCCGGAGCAGGATTGACGCGGTCCAAGACATGACGGACGCGTTCAAAAGACCTATGGTGCTCTGCGGAGACCATCCGACCACGAGATTATGGATAACATATATCCATAAGCAATTCCATCACGCCGGCGTAGAAACGACACTAAACGAATGCCGACAACGATATTGGGTGCTAAGAATACGCCCCACGATAAAGACATTGATAAAGAATTGCCTACTCTGCCGGATGAGAGCTCAGAAACCGCCATGCCCAAGAACAGGAGACTTACCGGAGTGTCGCTTAGCCCACCACGAGCGACCCTTCACCTACACGGGGGTTGATTACTTCGGCCCACTAGCAATAACAGTGGGCAGAGCTCGACAAAAGAGGTACGTGGCAATTTTCACGTGCCTCACCACTCGAGCTATACACCTCGAGGTCGCCGGCTCTCTCACCACGAACTCAGCAGTAATGGCACTAAGAAGAATGTTCGCTCGCCGAGGATACCCGACGGAGATCTGGTCCGACAACGGGACGAACCTTAAAGGGGCGGACAAGGAAATGAGAGAAGCGATTGACGGAGCAACCAAGGAAGAGGCCGCGCAGAAATTAATCAACTGGCGTTACATCCCTCCAGGAGCGCCATTCATGGGTGGAGCGTGGGAGAGAATGGTGCGGTCAGTGAAGACAGCCCTGACCGCCACCTTAAACGAGCGCCACCCGACAGAGGAAGTACTGAACACGCTACTCGCGGAAGTGGAGTACACAGTAAACAGTCGGCCATTGACACATGTTTCGGTAAATGAGGAAGATCCAGAGGCGCTCACGCCTAACCACTTCCTGTTAGGCGGACCAGGTCGGGTACCCCAACCAGGAACATTTAATGAGAAGGACGCCATCTCCACGTCGAGCTGGCGAGCGGGACAACAACTGGCGGATAAGTTTTGGTCCCGCTGGGTGAAAGAGTATCTCCCCGAGCTTCAACACCGGCGGGAGCCAAACGGAAGGGGACCTGAAGTGCAAGTAGATGACCTGGTGCTAATCATAGACACCAACCTACCCCGGAACACCTGGATTCGTGGTCGCGTGATAGCGACGTATCCAGGACCAGACGGCGTGGTACGTACGGTGGACGTGCGGACCAAGGGAGGTGTACTACGTCGTCCAGTCAGAAAACTCGTGATCCTGCCAATAGCAACAAAGGAACCCGCACCGAAGGGTACGACGAGTCGTACGGCGGGAGAGATGTGCGGGATAGCATCAGAGAAATAATATAGAAATAAAATATATAGTTAAAATAAATAGCGATAGAAACTATGTAATATGTAATATAAGAAATAGCGTAAAATTAATGTAAATAAACAGCTAAGTATAGTAAATAAATAATATAGAAAATATGTATAATGTAAAATAAGACACAACTTGTAACTGTAAAATGATCATATACGCAACTACGCTCAACATCGCAAGCTCCTGATTGGGCGAGCGCCGGCGCGCTCGCTCAAACACCGGCAAGGCGCGGTGAGATCACCGCGCAGGTATAAAAGGCCGGCCGACGGGCCGACTCAGCGCAGTCAGTGAGCGGAATTCATCGGAAGAACATCAGTCAGCGGAACTCAAGAACTACGGAAGACTTCAACAGCGAACAGTGAAACGGAAGATTATTAACAGTGTTCAGAATTGTAATTCGTGTAGAAAATAAATAGTGAATAACCGAACCAGCGCATAGTTTTAATGTACAAACCCGTACATTATCATTAAAACATATTACTATTAATTATTGTTATATTTCATTGTTTGTTAATAAACACCCGTGACGTCATCACAAAGAGGAAGTAATGCCAAACTTCATTGCCAACGTCGTTTAGTACGTGATATGGGACTCTTTAATTTGATCTATGCAAGAATAATTTGACTATGATTTGGTTTTGTCCAATATGGTGAGTGATTTTTTGCGCGTTGTGTGGTCAATCCAACAAGTTCTAGCAATCTATTCCATGGAATTTGTCATGATGACTTCAAATCTGGTTCATCCTATCTCCTCAGCCGTTCGTCTGTGTCTCCGATCCCATCCGGAACTCTTCCGCGGCCTGGTACAAAACAGGTGACAGTCACGGTTCAAGAAACAGTGGTTGAACCAGCCCAGCCACCACCACCACAACCACAGGCCACCACTGTGAGACACCACCACGCCTCCAGCGCTACTAAGGAGTTGGATGACTTGATGGCATCTCTATCAGACTTTAAGGTTAGTATTATAAATTTTCATTCCGCACTCGAAATGTCCAAAGAAATATTTTTGCTTAACTATATAAATGAATGAAAGGAAAGTTATGAGAGTCAAGGTCAAACATCTCGTGTTCCAAATAGGGACTACGTAAAATATTTATTTGCAAAACTGTAGTTGAAACTCATTGAGGGTAACTATGGAAATGATCCTTCATCTCTAGCAAAAGTCCTCGTTTTAAAATATAATGTTGCATATAATATAGCAATTTATTTCGGACGATAGTTATTGTAATAACTAAGTCGTTCATCAAACGTATCTCGGTTGCTAGGTTGTAATCGTATCTCTAAATTATCTCATGATTTGAGCGTTTAATGGCACACGCGGTTGCCAAAATGTTAGAAGACCTCAAATAAAATGAAACACTTCATCACATCAAACAAAAGGAAGTCAGCCGCTCCTGGTGCGTGGCTGTGGAACTAAACTCGCAAGGTTTGTTTGGTCATAAATGTCAAAATCTAAACAATGTGAGTCAGAATGTGTTCTAATATAGGTCCGCAGCTGTCATGGCCACTTCGGCACACTGCACTACACTATATTAACGAGTCGCCTTTCTTAGAGCACGGCTATTTCCAGTGGTGCGAAGAGTTCGCTCCCAACATCAGCCGTCTCGCTCCCGCACGTGGAGATCTGGCGGCTAAAGATAGTTCATATTACGTCACAGGTGTAGTGGGGCCGTGGGATTAATATTAGAGTACACAGAGATTTCACTAGCACAGCATTCACTCGGAATTCTCTCACCGATCGGATAGCATCTGTACGTCAGGCGACTTGACATAACACATATATATCATCGAAACATTACCTCTGGTCAATGTTTCGTGAGTAATCGATTAATCTGGTTCAGGTAAGCGGCGGAGCAGGTCCAGGGGAGCAAGCAACCCACGTGTATAAAGAGAGGAAGGCCTGGGAGGAGCATTACCGCAGCCCGCAACCGGAGGCCGCGTCGCTGGAACACATGCTTGGCTCCTTACGAGCAGACATGAGCCGCCAAGGAGTACAAACACCCCAGAAGGGATGCTGCAACGCTTGCGAGAAACCTATCGTTGGACAGGTGGATAAAATACAAACAGACAAAATTTGGACATAACGAATGGAATATAAGACTGGTTTCCCTCAGGTCATCACAGCGCTAGGCCGCACGTGGCATCCCGAGCACTTCACGTGCGCTCATTGCAACCAAGAGCTCGGTACTAGGAACTTCTTCGAGCGTGACGGCCGTCCGTACTGCGAACCCGACTACCACAACCTGTTCTCACCGAGATGCGCCTACTGCAATGGACCCATCCTGGACGTTAGTGTCATACATAGAAAGGATCTAAATAAAATGGTCGTAATCATTAATTTGATACAAATTCACAGAAATGCGTGACGGCGTTAGAGAAGACCTGGCATACGGAGCACTTCTTCTGCGCTCAATGCGGTCAGCAGTTTGGAGAGGAAGGTTTCCATGAGAGGGATGGGAAGCCGTATTGTAGGGCTGATTACTTCGATATGTTCGCACCTAAATGCGGCGGCTGCAACAAACCTATCATGGAGAACTATATCTCCGCACTTAACACACAGTGGCATCCTGACTGCTTCGTGTGCAAGGTAAGTCTCTACCTCCCAATACAGCGACATTCATGACAGGTACAGTATATAACTGATGACAGGTTAAGTATGTACAAACATAATTATATATATTTATATATCATGATAAACTATGGTACAGGATTGTCAGATGGCTGTTAAAGGAAAAACCTTCTATGCGATGGAGGGTAAGCCGGTATGCCCGAAATGCGTCGGAGTTGACGGCGAGGAAGAAGAATGAGGAATGATCCCCCAAAATATGCCCCCCCCCCCCCAATTTCTCTTTCAGCTATGCTAGTCATGATGTATGAACACAATATTATACACAAAATACACTATAATACACTCGCAATACTAGTGTTAGCGTTACTTAGGAAAATATTAATTATAAAAATTAAAATATTTATACAAACTATATATTTTTTTAAATTATTGTAAAGTTAAGTTTATAAATAAAGAGAATGAAAAAAAAAATAAATAAAAAAAAAACATACAAACAAAACAAATAAACAAAAAAAAAACAAAACAATACAAAATTTAAACTGACATTCGATGCTTGTCAAGGTCGTGTGCGCACGCGCATGGCAATGACCGCTTATCTATTAGTATTAGGTCGAAGGTCGCGAAAAATACAGCCGAAGTTAAATAGGGTCACGACCGCGGTATAGAGTACACTAGTATAGAGTTACAAGCACAGCTGATCACCGAAATAAATATGACGTCACTGATGTTCGGTTAACTAGCGTAGTTAAATTATACTATACTAGTATTAACCGCGACTTTGTCCGCGTTCATTTCGTTATTAGTCCTAGAGGCTGTAAATAACCAGATATTGGAGTTTACTAAGTTTTTTTTCTGTTTCGACCGAACAAAATTAAATATCCTATGTCCGTCTCCTATTTCTAAGCTAGCTCTCCAAAACTTTTTTGTTTTTAATTTATAAATTGTGTAACTTACACAACTTTATGTACATAGATAATAGAACTTCCACTTTACCCATTCTCTTAATTATTTTAAGATCTTAATTTTCTAAAACCATTATTATGTCCCAAAATACGTATTTTTTTCCTCAATATCATTGTATTTTCTACGTAAATATATTTTCATAGCGCATTATAATGTTCGCGTTATAAATACTAGTTGCTCGTATGCCAGAGTCGTGTTGAAGACGACGCTAAATCAAATGGAGCCATTTAACAATGTCGTAACACGAACATGTTGTAATGGAAAACATTGTGCGAAGAAATGTAGCTGTAATGTATTGAAAAATAAATAATATTGCTGAAATGATTAAAAATGTATGAAGGCCTAGTACCATACATTTAATTTAAAAACTATAATATATCAACAACCAATTATTAATGTCAGGTGTTGTGTCCCAGTTTTATATATATTATCTACGTATGACATTATTGTGTATTTTTTTACTTTTAGAAGCAGTTATTCTGCTAAATTAGTCACCATTATACATAGACACGTGACATAACTTTAAATGTATAGATCGTGATATCAGGATATACTGGACGATTCCTTGTTCTAAACCCTCAATACAGATACATAAATCAAATGTTATATTAATTTTCATCGTTATCTTCTTCTTCAGATATTCACAGTTACAATAATATTAATGACTATGTACATCGTCAGTTAGTTTGTGTTACTGAAGAAAGTAATGGCTTCATAACACTAAAGTCATGTACACACATTAACATCGATTACTTTATGAATAAGCCATTACCTCTCTTTATATTTTAAGAATGTCCCGAAAACTAAAATCTCGATAATTCCTGTTCTAGGGTTGTCCAAAATGAACATAAATCATCTATTTCAGGGTTGTCCAAAAAAAAACCATCTAAAACATTGATTTTATATTCCAGGAATGTCGCGAGCCTTTCCACGGCGGTTCGTTCTTCGAGCACGAAGGCCAGCCGTACTGCGAGACTCACTACCACGGCAAGCGAGGCTCTCTCTGCGCCGGGTGTCATAAACCCATCGCCGGCAGGTGTATCACAGCTATGTTCAGGAAATTCCACCCTGAACACTTCGTCTGCGCCTTCTGTTTGCGCCAACTCAACAAGGGCACCTTCAAGGAACAGAACGACAAGCCCTACTGTCACGCGTGCTTCGATAAACTATTTGGATGAAACTACACGAACTAGAAGTCAAAACATAATACGGCTATAATATAATACATTCGTCACAAAATATATTCTTGAAATGTCCTTGAAATACAAATAACTACATATAATGATTTGAAATGAGTTGAGAATGTAATAAAAACTATATTCGTTAAGTAATTTACATGTTTTTGGATCATTGAAAGGAAAAAGTTTTTTCCATAATGCTTATTCATGTCATTTTTACATATATGTATGTATGTGTAAAAATATATGTAATTTTTAACAACGAATTCTGAATAAGTCTTAAAGCATCAGAATATTTTTTTCTAATTCTGCTCGCTTAAGTTGTAATCAACATTTCAATTCAATACATACTAAATTATCACTTGCTTTTATTAACTGATTTTAAATATTTATAACTCGTCAGTCTTCAAACGTACAGAAAGAAATTAAATAATATTTGTTATTAAATATCAAATATACGCACAACAAATTGCTCATTTTGTATTACTCTTAGTTAAGATAGATGGCACTAGTGACGTTGGAAATTATTAAAATGTATGTAGCTATTAAAATCAATATGGAATAAGAGAAATAATTAATTATATATATGAATAACATTAATTAATATGAAATGGCGCTGTGTTCGTGTGACGGTACTAAATTATGTGATTAGAAATGTTTGGTCTAAATGTCATGGACGCCATGTTCGATTATTCTATTGTAAGCGAAAACAAGATGGCACCTTATTCAAAATAAAGGCCTGTATACACTTGATGTATTTTTTTTAATCGCTTTGTTATAAATATAACCTTGATTTAATATTGTATTATAATTTATACGCATTTTTTAATATTTTTATTTTAAAACCATTTAAGTCGAATCTTCCATTAGCGTAAAGTTTTTTTTGGTACATTTATAATTATTATTATTCTGTTACTGCCTTTTATAGCCTGTTAGTTATGATGAGTGCCAAAATTCATTTAATCTCGGCTTCAATAATATTTCTGATTCGTGTTCAAACAATTTTGTTGTTTATATTTATTGTACCGAAAGGTCATATTCCCGTGAAACTGTTTTCATTGTACCGTGATTTTATTGAATCTGTAATATTTTAACAAATATATTTTGTTTTTGATAATTTTTTCCGTCTTTCATTTGTCTACCCAATAAAGAATGTATGTCTACATCTATTTTTTTTTATATACATGAATCTATATTTGATAGCAAATTTTTACAAAAAATTTAATTATTGGATCGCAGGATATGATTTTTTAGTTTTGACTTATTAGATCCGGCACATTAAGGCTGTAACGATTTATACTTTTTAGGTAGCGGGGCAAAAGGTACTAGGAGTGAGGAGATCTAAGCTTAGAAGGTATGAACATTAATACATACTTACATATGCTTTCGGATTTGCATTAATATATGCAAAGGCAGTGAAGATGATAATTTAAATCTATCTCCTAGGATCGAAATGCGTAAACTGACCATAGATAATTTTGCTTTGCTACGTTATTGGATTTTTTTTTGTGAACCACTTTTTTACTTTATTGAGTAATTGTCGATTATTTAGAGTAGTAGTTGAGTAAAATCTTCAATAATATCTTTAAAAAATTATCTTTCTAATTGAGAGGGTAAAATATGCAATAAAAATTATTCGTGAAAGTGACGTAATACTACTTAAAAAAATTTATATTAATCTAGTCAGATTTTATCACAGATGTAGTGACTAGTCTATATAATTTAGTTTTTATAGAAAAAAAATAGTTTTTGTAGTATACACAATACACTTTTGAAAGTGTACGCAGGAGTTAGACCCTTTAATTTCTCCTAACCGTTTTTACTATCGGAATATCAGGAACCTGACAAATCTCAATTCCTTCGTTTTAGTCTTGATTCGCATCAAAACGCAAATTGCTTCCTCCTTCCATCATGAACACAAATTAATATAATTTTAATGTCTTCGAGGCTAAACAAATTGTAAGTGTGATGATACCTTCACCACCTGCGATTACATTTCAACCAAGTAATGATCGAATAATAATCCAGACCTATGTATCCAGTCTTCTTGAAAATGTGTTAATTTCAAATAAATATACATATTTTAAAAGACGCTTCAACTTCAATGCAGTAACCTAGTTCACATAACATTCTATTTTTCTGTTAATTAAATAATAATAAATTAAATACATTAATATTTTATTATTGTAAAAATATTCTTTTTTAATTTTTTATTTTTTCCATATTAACAATTTCATTATTTTAATATTTTCTCTTTTTCGGTTATCGACTATATCGATCTTCTTATCACACATATCATATTTTATTATAAACTATAATTTACTTGTTCCTTAATACCTCTCTCTGATCACTTTCTTTTATAACATGTTGAACTTCAATTTAAATTGAATTTTTCTCCTACGATATTTTTCCTTAAATTAACAATAAAAATACAAAGCCAATTTTGCACATAGTTCGTTTGATAGTAATCACGTCGTTTAATCTTCTAGCTGCTAGCTCAATTGCTTGAAATTACAATCTAAATTTAAAGAAAATCGTTCCACATCCAGATAATAAACTATATTAGTATATTTTACGACTATATACTCGTTTTTTATACATTATATCATTTTTGAACATCAAAATTTATTTTCATCATCATATATAAAATATTGTAGCACGTAGCCTAGTTATTACAATAATTTGTTTTAATGTTTTAGAAATGCATTTAAGTTTTGCAAACATACAATCTCACAAAACCGTCTTATCTATTATATAAGGGAAATTTGTTTGATAATCTATTTACTTGTATCGTAAAAAAATACAAATAATACCTAATTGTAAACGACAAGTAAATCCGAAAATATTCGTTTTATTTTAATGAATACTCGCGAAAGTCTTAGATCCTATTAATGCTAAACTAATTTTAACAAATACAGACAAATAAAATTACGCCATGCCTAAAACAGTGAAATAAAAAATTATAATATTATTATTTTATTCTGGCAGCATGGCCATTTTTTTTTAAATATATCTTCGTGCAGTTGCATTAGAGTTAATTGCTACATTAATTATAAACATAAGGAACCAACTTGCAAACTTTATACATGATGGTCTGTTCTGTTATGTTTTATTTAATATTTATATATTTAAATATTATCAGCGATTTTCATACAATTTATCGATATGTTTTATATTACGGAGGAAAATCAAGTAAAAATATTTTTAAATTAACAGTGCTATGTAGTTTTCTATTAAAGACACATTAACAAAAGTTATGACATTGAAGTGGACATATTTTTTATCCCTTTTATGTACTAATTTATAAATAAAACATCCCACTAATTAAAGAAGAAGAAGTAAATAAAACATTATAAGTTCTAATACATGTATCTCAAAAAAAATCTTCCATTTAGTTTGACGCGTTCTTGTGATTAATATTTTTTAAATATTTTTCATATTTCGTATCATCTTTAAAGGTTATCATTATGAAAAACATAAACTTTGAACTATTTAATAATCTTAATTAAATTTTATTTTGAAAACAAAATTTTAGTCAGAATAACACAAATACTTACTGACCATTTAATTAATTAAGTTACTTAAGATATATGGACCACACCTTAATAGGTAACAGTCCAGAACTCTAAATAAAATATGGCATTAAAACATAAAATTATGTGTTACTATTAAAACCGGTTCTCGTCAATAAACCTTCGTCGATTCTATTGAATGTAATACTTTATTTATAAACATAGGTATAACTATTATTCCACAGATTATGTCTCAATGCGATTAATATAAAAAGTTATTTAATAAAAAAAACATTGAATTTTCAAATCCGATTTCGATTATAAACACACCATATATATATCAAAGGTCAGTAATATAAGGTTAATCAATTTATCACATATTATATATAGGAGTATTGTGGTTGTGATGCATTACGTTACTTGCAATCACACGAGATGCTGTTTGATTTGAAGAATAGAGTTGTTCTTATTACTGGAGGGTGCAATGGGATCGGGGCTAAGGTCATCGAGTTTTTACTTGATGAAAACGTCAAGGTAAATATAAATAATAAAAGTATTTTATATAAATGGAATATCAACAAATAGTCCTTTAATTTGTATTGCTTATAAGATTTAGATTCGCTTGACTTATGTTAGAAAAAAATTAAGACAGAAATGGTTATCCCGATTGTAGCTTTACTGTCAATTTTATTTTAAAAATAAGCAAATTTTAAAGCCCTAAAAAACACTAGCAAAGGCAAACCTTAAGCAATGTGTGCATCGTTATACTACACACGACTCGTTTTGTTTTTTTCATTCAATGTTCTACGTTAATACTATACTGTCCTAAGATCTAAGATTTATGAATGATAAATGTTCACTACTCAACTATTAGTGTAATGCTAGTAAATTACGATTCAAATTGTCTGCTGCGGGCTTGAAGAGGAAACAAGGGTAGTAAATAGATAACTAGACTTATAATTTTGATGATTGTTAATGTACACACATACATAAAATCACTTGAGATTAAATATAACTAAGATTTATTGAAAAATGTTTTGTGTTTAGAAGTAAAATACTTAAAACTTTTCTGTCAGGGAAATTAAGTATTTCTTTAGTCATGTCAAAAATCTACTGATGTTATAAATTTATAAATTTGAACCTAGTTACTTATAAAGTACATAATTTACGCTTAAATGAAAATATATTGAAACTATTAACAGAGAAACGTAAAAAAATTAATACATTTAGTGGAAACAATCTGCTTAATACGAAATGTATTACATACTGTAATTATATTAGGATACTTTGAAAACTACTACTTGACAATCGGCCAACCTTGAGCAAGCTTGTTTTGCTCTAATACTTCACACACCAAATTTCACTAATCTATAAAAATACCTTATTACCTGTATCTTAATTTTTCTACAAGTTTATATTAAGTAACTAATGATTAATCATACTTAGACAAAAACTAAACTGTTTTTATCTCCTGACTAATAATTGTTGCGATCATTATAATCGTAAAGTTGCTATCATGATTTATGATTTATAATTTATATGAATAGAGATACTATCTCACATACATCTGGTATCTCCAAAGTTTCATTTGTAATTTTGTAAAATATTATTTTAATATTAGTCTGAAAGTATGCAAAAAGTCGCTTTATTTTTTGACGAAATGAGATCTGCATTTTAGACACCTTCAGTACAGTCTATCTGCATAAGTCACTGCAAACCACACTTCATAATAGGCAATCATTCATAATTATGCTGGGAGCATACTCTGACAAACTTTCAGGTTTTATAAGATAACGAATCTTACTTCACTGTATCAGACCTGATACATTTCCTGAATCCTGATAAAGGGCCTTTAAGTTGAAGGAATGTTCCTTAACATTGAGAAAATCCATAATAATAGTGGAACTGATTACTGAATTTTTTTTCCAGCACATCGCAAATCTAGATGTCGCTGAGGACATTGGCATCGCCAAACAGGACAAGTTGAACGAGAAGTATGGAAAAAACAAAGTTAAATTCTACAAGTGTGACGTCACGAACGATGATGAACTACTTGGAGCGTATCAATCAGTTCTGGATGAACATGGATATATTGACATCGTAATAAACAATGCTGGAATCATGAATGATAGCAAGGAGACTTATAGGAAGGAGATTAAAATTAATTTCGTAAGTAGAAACTATCCTCCTAGTAAGATTGTTTTGTCAAACTGAAAATCTCTTTAATAGATTGGTTATATAGGATAATTATGACTAAAAAACCTGATAAAATTCATTGTTTATAGTAACAACGCGAATTAATACTATGGGCTCGGTAAACATTGAATGTTAAGCATAATGACATCAAATTATATAGTTTTTTCAATTATTAAAAAACATAAATAGTTTAAAATATTAATTACTATGTCAGTGGTGGCATAGTGGTTAAAAGGCCCGCCGCTCGTGCATTAGGGCGCGGGTCCGAAACCTGGCATGTACCAATTTGATTATTGCGAGTTATAACTTTCTAAGAGTATTTAGACACCACTGACAGACGGTGAAGGAAAACATCGTGAGGAAACCTGGACTTATAATATCACGATTATAAGTTCGAAATCACCAACCCGTCTTGAGTAAGCGTGATTAATGCTCAAACTTCTCCATGTGAGAAGAGGCCTTTGCTCAGCTGAGGGCTCTGGTAGGCCGATGGCGATTAATTACTATTCATATGCCGTAAAATCCAACTAAGTAACACTCTTTATTTTTACTAATGTTTAATATATCTCAGCTCGCTCTGACAACAAGCACATTGAAAGCGATGGATATAATGAGAAAAGACGAAGGCGGCAAGGGCGGAGTCGTGATAAACATATCATCTATAGCGGCGTTACTTCAAGATGAGTTCCTGCCAATATACTACGGAACTAAGAGTGCTGTCCTACAGTTCAGCAACTGTATTGGGGTGAGAAATATAACACATACAAGGATATATGATTCATAATAACTTATATGAACTTAGAACCTTATCACAGTAACTTGTAATCTCCCTACCATATCCAATTCTAGATGGAATACAATTTCATTATTTGGAACGTATACTTCTCATAATAATCAAAAAACCTCTCAAATTAATTATGAAATATTTAATAATTAGTATCAAACCAAAACATCGTTCCTAAAGTAGAACTAATTACTTTATCAATCTTACATTTTCGGCTAATGCTATTAGTCTTGCATATGCTTACAAAATATCAAAAAAAAAAACTTTATTAACCCTTTATTATAAATATTGTGCTATAGGTACAATTCGTGTCAATTCTCGGAAACTCAGCAAACCATATATATGTTTCAGTTACCCCGTTATTTCTCAAGAACTGGCGTCCGTGTTATAACAATGTGTTTCGGCGCCACAAACACGGCACTCCTCCACAAGGACATGATGGGAAACTTCGATAAAGTCATTGAAAACGAAATGGTGGACATATTATCAAAGCATCCGATGCAAAAGTAATATTTGTATTAGACTTTTTAACCTTTAAGAAACCGAATAGTTGATTATTTGACGTAATAAGTAAAACTTCTTTACAGTAATTTAAATTGTACTCTGTATTATACTAGGCCGTTCAGAGAATGCGTTCCTTCCTGGCACATCTGACTACGTAGCTTTATAATAACGTTGTAGTTACCATAAAAATATTTTTGCTGGTTGTTTACCGTTTTAATAATTGATGAGCATTAAAACAACATTATTATAATAATAATCAATGAATGGTATAATTTTTTGTGAAAGCATTGCAGATATACAAAAATATAAGACATTAGTGTAATATATTACGTCATACACCATTCAAGTACTCTCTAAATATTCTTGTACTATTTAATGCACTTTATATCATAACACCCAGAAAAGGTTTAACTTTTCCAATTACATTCATCCGAATTAAATAAAAATTACATAAAACAAAAATTATTTTTAATTCCAGGGTTGAATCCGCTGCGTCATGTATGATTGAGGTTTTAAAGCGCGGGAAAAGTGGCAGCACTTGGTTGTCAATCGCCAACAAGCCCGCACAGGACATCACACCGAAAGTCAAAAAAGCCTATGGCATACTGACAGAACTCATATTTTAAAATCATAAAAAACATTATGCATTCACTTGTATTGAAAATTGCTTCTTATATAAGCACTGCATATTTTTAATATGATCTAAATATTTGTTTACGTCAATAGAGCATTTAATTTTAAACGATATTTTGTTGAAAATATTATATTTTAATTAAAGTTCGTTATAAATTGCATTTACGATATTATTTCGGCTTGTTCATTCCTATTTTTCATGAGACGACTGCAAAACCATGAGGTTAAATATATATAATAAAAAGATAGAAGTAATTAGAGATAAGTACTTTTTGTGTTCAAAAATATATTCAACTATTTTTTTATAATAGTCTGTGGATTAAATTAATCAGAAATAAGGAAGGAAATACTACCTCTGATAATTGAAGAATGGAAAATCCAAAATAATATTTCCGTAGTAGTTTTTGATTGGTTTGACTTATCTAAAGTCGTCTGTTTTGACGCCTAACCATTACTCATAGATATGTAAAAATCCCAGATAACAGAATTGACTCTTTGAAAAATTATTAAATTTTTTACAGTGCTTCATTAAAAGTACATATTATTACAAAAACACAAACAAAATAATCTCCAGACTTTAACATAAATAAAATTTGGGGAAAACCTAATGCAAGAATTATTTTTAAGCTACAACTTTGACACTTCCTAAAGAAAATCATTAATATAAATGAAATAAATTAACTATATTGTCATTAACAACGAAAAACAAGAAGGGAAGTTCCATCAAAACTACTTTCATACAAGTTATTGCTTTAAGACACTTTGAATAACTTATCAGATCTCATGAAGAGTCAAGCTTCGATTCGTCACTATGACTCACAAATCAAAGTTCAACTGTGACTCCAAAAATTTCGTATAAATGTGATATAATCATGTGGTTACTATATTAAAAATTCCAATTTATATACTCCGTCATCATAAGCGTTCGAGATCGTTTGGCTACAAGACTATTCGCCTTATATATTTTTTTGTTTTTGCTGAGTTCGTTGTATTATTCATAGTAATGGTTGAATAACATAACGAAATAACAAATTTAACATGGCGTTGATGATTAATATCAAAATATTTATAATGTTGCAAGCATGAATATAGAACATTTTGATATAGGGCACTGTGATATCGACAGCATATCGTTTATTGATAAGTAAATCATTTAATCTTCTTACTTACATAATTCTTTACACATGCATCCTATTCAAATAGATAAGAATAAAAATATATTTAAATTAAAACAAAAAATATCCAGATTAAATAATCACGGTCGAATAATTTTATGTGTTTTTATTAGTTACTTGTTCTAGAAATGTTTCAAATACAGATAAATATGACAATGTATATCTAATATGTAAATATTACATACAAAATTGTTGCGGCATCAAACGATCAAATAATAGCTAGAATAAAATCATCAGACAAATTAAATTCTCATTAGATTAATGTCTTGTTTATTATGTTAAGAGTTAATAAACTTAAATATTTATTTATTGTACATTGTTTACATGATTTCGACTGAATAGACGAAAAAATTATTTATCTTTTTCAAATCTTTGATAGCACATGCCTAAGCCCATACTGCAAAATCGATTTAAATGTTTTTTTATTCGAGAAACTTAAAAATTGAAACATTCAAACGTCTTCAATAGTTTGTAATTAAAAAAATAATCTGTTTTCTATGATAATAATATTGTTTGTTACGTTTCTTTAAAAATAGCTCCATTTGTAAGAATAACACTTCAGTTATTTTTAAAAGTATTTATTTCATATTTGCCTGCACAGATACCTAGCATTGTTATTTAAAACACATGTAACCTTGAGAAACAACTAGAATTTTCCATCGATCAATATCATACATCAATTATTTGTTATCGTCGTCTATACACGGCAATTACTGTAACCGTGTCGCTTTTGATATGGAAATTCGATTGTTATTTACGGCCATCTTTGTTGTTGAAATACTTCAAAATATGTACACATTTTTGTTTATCGGTGTCAGATTTTTTTGCTAAAAATGCTACAACTACATATGTATATCAGTAATTTCTTTTAGAAAATGTTATGAAATATAGATCAGATAGAAATAAACTAAAAATACACTTTCGAACATATGCAATCTTTATCAAGGACAAATGTATTAATTCGCTTAGTCGACCAAAGAGGCCAAATCATTTATAACTTTTTCGTAGAACTGTGACGGATGAAAGCCACAGATAATAAAAATATTACTAAGGAAAAATAAAAAGCTTCATACGACATTCAACAAAATATATTTACAGCACTTAATTACACATCCCTACACTAATACATATAAACTATGAAACTTAAACACGAAATTAAATAACACTTTAAATATTTCATTAACAACTAATTTGTCATTTGTTTCACTTATAACAGAACTTAAATGGTTCCTATGGCTACAACTAGTCAGTCTTTGGTGAGAATAACAGACCAGACCTCTTACACCAGGTCCGGGAACAGCTCCGGGAACGATTCACACCAAAAGTCTGACAGGTCCATAGATTCTGGTTCACTCAGCGGGGAGGAGAGTGACTCGTAGCCCAAGTCAGAACTCAAATTACTGTGTGTCGGGGACACTGCCAATACATTTTCATCCGCAGACTTTATTGACATCGGCAACGGTGACAATAATTTCATATCCGATTCCAATGTGATGTCCAAACAGTTGTCCGTCAGTTTATTGAAGTCGGTGTCCAATTTAATTGGAGCCGGTTCTTCTGTTTGATCCTCGCAAGGGACTTCAATTGTCACACAATCACTTGCTTCATAGCTAGCATAGAATAAGTCACCCTTGTCCCCGTTTTCTTCTTTAACAGTGTCTGTCTTAGGATAGGGATGTGCATATGAGTGCTGTGACAATATCCTGTCTATATCATGCTTGAGACTATCTATGTCTCTACTTTGACTGGGTTCCAGTTGTTCTGCTGCGGACCCCACCACTTCATTTCCTTCAGGACAATGTCGATTGCTGCTGGCTTTATCCTATCAGAAATAAAAATATTTATATAAACATTTCATTGAAATAAACACAAAATAAAGATTATTGTATGTATAATTGTATTGTTCATAGTTTTTATATAATATATATGTCATAATCTTGATTATAATATATATAATACAGATTATGTTGCTGTATATTAAGAATTTTTAATGAACTTACATCGGCAGCTTCTCCTGCAGTTTTTCCATCAATTTCTTGGAGTAATTGATCTGCAAGTTGGTGGAGGGTGTCCAAATACTCTGGGGAGTCCAGGTGTTGCAGGAGTTCTGAGAGAGCACATACATCAGCATCACTAGACGAGCCGCGTTGAGTGCCGACAGGGGCCCCACCTGAAACGAAACATTAATTTTACAACCCAACCTAACTTAAACTTATACCTGATGAAATATAAATAAAATATGAGCAAGAAGACTGAATCATATGTTTCCTTAACATACTATCCAGACTAGAACCTTTTTGTATGATCGTTGAGTGTAAAGATTATTTTCAAGTACCTTCTGCTGAGGTTGAGACTCTGCTGGTCTCGGGGCCGCCGCGACGCTCCTCGCCGCCTCGCGCAGGGCTGAGTTCTCACTCAGAAGCCGCTCATTCATCGCTTTTAAGTTCTCCACCTCGCCAAGTAGCCGCTCGTTCATGTCCATGAAGTGCTTGATACGGCCCTCCATTTCATCCATTTTCGCCTTCTTTCGGTCCCGCGATGTCTGAGCAGCAACTCGGTTTTTGAGTTTCCTGGGTGATGCAACAATTAGCATTTCGATATTATGTTTAGAAAATTATAACAGTAAAACAATAATATTATATGCAAAACAATTTTAAATATTTATATTATCGTTGATAAATATTTCAAAAGGCCACATCACAGATTTTTTTTTCTATTATGACAAGTGTTCTTACATCTACAGTGTTTTGGATATTTGTTAGCTTTGTAAACAATATACATGGATCCATAATTTAATTATAATTATGATATTTATGTTTTTATTTTTTAAATGACAGTTAAAAAGAGGTAAGTAAATTTTAATAAAAAATTTGCTGAAAATCAACAACACGACAAAATGATGACTCACTTCCTTTGCATCTTTTCTTCCCATGTTAGATGGTCCAGCCTCCTCTTCCTGGACGGTGGACCAGGAGACACATCGACAACCACCTTCGACTCCATATCATCCACCGCCAGATAATTATTAGGCACAGTAATGATTATCGGAGCGCTCATTTTACTGTTAAGATTATAAACACACCGAAAACACCACTTATTAAACAACTGTTAACTAAACGATAGCATATCAAAGAAAAATAAGAAAAGCATTTGTCAGGAAACACTTCTTGAAGTTATATTTTGTCCGCACATGAAAACCGTTTTCGTCGTACATACTCAAGCTCATGTCAAATAGTAATGGTGAATAACATTCTCGAAAATATGTACGTGCCGGATCGCGATTGGCGTACTCAGTTATGTGGGAGTGTACGATAAGGCCTTTAGAGTGAGATGGGAATATCTGTGCAAAAGATTTTAAGTGAAATAGTATCTAAGTATTGCGTAAACTTTTTGACGAACAAAGTTTTATATTTTTGTCATACGTAATTATTAGCTACATGGTGCAAAGATAGTATTGTAATACACATACCGTTACAGATCATTGAACTAAAGCTCGTTGAACCTCTTAGTGTAATTTTGTGTGTGGAATTTTTAAAATACCATTTGCATTGATATCTTTTGAGAAATTATTCTAGAATTTGACTATAAGCCGGCCGGTTTAGACGAAAATACTAAGATACTTTTATTATCATAATTATTACTTTATGCATAATATATTACTTTCAAATTAAAAGCGCGTCAATATGTCTAGCTTGGAAAGAAGCTTTAGATTGCTCTATCGTCATATTACCCATACATATAGGATAAATTAATATAAAATTGTATAAATAGGAGTGTCTGTTTGTAATATTGAAATAATAAGTTTTTACTATTCGCATATTTATATTTATTTATACGGCACATACCTATAGCAAGATAACATATTTTTTACAATTTTTGTCTCTCTGTTTGTTCCAGCTAATCTTTGTAATGGCTGGACTCATTTTAACGAGATTTTTATTGGAATTTAGCTGATGTAATATGGAGTAATTTAGGCTATTTTTTTTATCCCGATCGTTAATCATGATCTGGAAATTACGTGTTATCATATACAAGTGGTAAGCGGGGCACATGCGGCTCTCAAAGTTATTTAATATTCTTTACTTTTTTTACGAAATCAGAGTTGTGGGTAACAATTAGTTAATTCATAAACGACTGTGTGCATTAAGTATAAAAATCTTATGTCATATAGTTGCATTTCGCGAAGTATAGTATTAGTGTTGTAGGATGTAATAGCTACCATATTTGTATATCTACCTGTTAACATTTATCATGTAAATTAATGTTTATCTTAGACGGAAATCTGTTATAATAGGATATACCTACTTAATATTATACTGTCACGAGCTGTTATCGCTAATCTGAGAAGTATTTTAATAAAAAATATAACACGAAGATCATAACCAGTTTAAAGAAATTAAAATATCTATTAGAATGAGTGATTATAATTTCATTCTTGTAATAAACTTTAGAAATGTTTTTTTAGAAGTAGGAGTGTCAGTAAAAAAAATATTATTTGCTATAACTTCTCTCATAACTGTAAATTTTTTGCAAAAAATAAGCGAAACTAACTGATAGACTAATTAAAATTATTACTCATTACCATAGTCTAATTAAAAGAGAACAAACATGAAATAGTCAAGCAGAAACTTGTTAAAAGTTACAGATTTGACATGTAAACTTATCTCGCAAGTGATTATCTCAAATGTGAGAAATTCAAGCTTATAACCCATAATTACTAAAGTTGTTATAAACAATCATTTGTAACCACTGAAAAATCTAACAAAGGATATACTAACTATTCTCGTATATATTGTTATGAGTATTGATTTTTTGTATCTTTCATATTTCTTAACTTGCTTTAAGCTTTAATACACACATAAAGTGATGTTAATTTTTGAATCACAGCCCACTTTAAAGATTCTATATTAAAATAGTATATAAATATGTATAAAAGTATGTAAATGTTTTTACGGAGCAGTTTCTAATATTCAATATGTACTCAATGAAAAACAAAGTTGTCTTAGACAACAGTCTACTGTCTATAGCTTTACCCTTGACAATTGTTTGTATTTAGTTGTCAAAGTATTAATGTCTGTCGGCTGTCATCCAAATTGTCAATTGTCTTTATTCGCTTCCAATACCCAAAGCTCCAATATTGTCGTTTATAATTTGTATCCAAATAGTTATTTGACTTAGTTAGAATTTTCCTTTAACTATCACATTCATAGTTGCACTTTTTAAATTAGGGCATATTATCAAACATGGCTTCTACTAGTACAGATTCACAGTCCACAATCGCTCAGAAGTCATGGGTGATGGCAAATAATATTGAAACTGTGTCTAGTGTTGATGATATTTATCGATACGACAAAAAGCAACAGCAAGATATCCTAGCCGCTAAACCCTGGGAAAAAGAGTATGCTTTTAAATTTAGTCATCTTTGTTTAAAATATTTCACATTGTCTCTATAAAAACGTTTGTTTTGCAGCCCTCATTTCTTCAAAGACATCAAAATCTCAGCGCTGGCATTGCTTAAAATGGTTATGCATGCACGTTCGGGAGGGACGTTAGAAGTTATGGGACTTTTGCTTGGTAAAAACATTTTCTGACAACTTTCCTTTGTTCTCTTGTATTGGTTTTACATATTTCGCAATTTTTGTAATTTTAGGTAAGGTTGATGCAAACACAATGTTAGTAATGGACTCATTTGCTTTGCCCGTTGAAGGGACAGAGACCAGGGTGAATGCTCAAGCCCAAGCCTATGAGTATATGACTGCATATATAGAGGCAGCTAAACAGGTAGAAATAAGTTTAAACTATTAAAAACACAAATAATAACAAAATTTATTATCATTCAGGAAGACTACAATTCAGCAACTATCCTTATGATTAATATAATTTAAACAAATTCAGTAACAATTTTACTTAAATGTATTCTAGGTTGGTAGACATGAAAATGCCATAGGTTGGTATCACAGTCATCCTGGTTATGGTTGTTGGTTGTCCGGCATTGATGTCTCCACACAGATGCTCAACCAGAACTTCCAAGAGCCTTTCGTAGCCATTGTCATAGATCCCGTCAGGACCATCTCAGCCGGCAAAGTTTGCCTCGGAGCATTTAGAACTTATCCCAAGGTTAATTCAATTTAATATCAATTACTTTAATAAAAAGATTCTGTCTGTATTAAATTTTTTTAGAATTAGCTGTGGATTTTCGGGATTTCTGAGATCTAAAGTAGCCTATGTGTTATTCCTGGACGTCAGCTTCCTGTATACAAAATTTTATCAAAATCGGTTCAGCCGTTTCAGTGTAAAGAAGTAACAAACATACACACACACACACACAAACTTTCGCAATTATAATATAAGTAGGATAATAGGCTAAAATATTTGTAATCAGAGCTGGGATTATAACTAGTGTATTTAATGTAGTGTATTTAGTGTATTAAATGTAAGAAGTTAAGTCTCCTATTATTATTGATGGATGGATAGATTCTAAAGTCAAAACAATGTTATAGGATATTTCTCCAAATCTACCTAATATATACTTCTATAATTCTATTTCTATACACAGATGCCTTATATATTATACCTTTGTTACAAATTTTCAGGGTTACAAACCAGCTAATGAAGAGCCATCGGAATATCAGACCATACCATTGAATAAGATTGAAGACTTTGGTGTTCATTGCAAGCAATACTACTCTCTAGAAGTGTCATACTTCAAATCTTCTCTGGACAGAAGGCTGTTAGACTCGTTGTGGAACAAGTATTGGGTTAACACTTTGAGCAGTTCCAGTCTGATAACCAACGCTGATTACACGACCGGACAGATATTTGATCTCTCGGATAAATTGGAACAAAGTGAAGTTTGTTTAGGTATTATTTTTATAATTAAGATGACTTATGATTTAAAAACTATAATCAACTCTCTCATCTAGAGTGCTTTTGCTATTTAAGACATACATACAATATCATCTTTCATCTATTAGGTGATACATGGAGTTTCATGAGGAAATTTTTACAAAAATTATCCTTTATATACAATTTAACAAAATAATGCATAGAAATAACTATCTTACTAATATAATATCAATTCTCAGGTCGCGGTGGCTTTCTGATAGGTACAGATCCTCATGAAAAACGCACTGAAGATAAACTAGGCAAAGCTACTAAAGATGCTTGTAAGACAACTATAGAAGTTATCCATGGACTGATGGCACAAATGATCAAGGACAGATTATTCAACAGTGTCATCGGCCGACCCTCTCCACCTACTCCAATGCTCGAGTAATCTTATAGTAATTAAGTTGTAATTTGTATCTAAAATTTATTTGTATTAAGAACTAAAATAAACCTTATAGTAAAAAAACTCATGTATTTTTTCACACTTCCAAACTATATTACATGTTACAAGCACCTGAAGTGACTTGTTTACCTACATATCTATCTTCTATCCATATCTATACTAATATTATAAAGCTGAAGAGTTTGTTTGTTTGTTTGGAAGCGCTTATCTCCGAAACTACTGGTTCGAATTGAATAATTCTTTTTGGGTTGGATAGTCTAGTTATCGAGGAAAGCTGTGGGCTATATAACATCACGCTACGACCAATAGGAGCAAAGATATAGTGGTAAATGTGTAAAAATCGGGAGAAATTATTTCATCTTTGAAGCCTTAACTTGCGTGCGCCGTGAAAACGGTTCAAAATACACAAAAAATATGAATTAAAGAATAATAGCTCTTTAAATGATCTAAAAAACAGTCCGCGACAGTATATGTCTATCTTTTAAGATAAACTCACAAAAACCGTTTTTATAGTACCTAATTTGGTCGAAATAATTTGTTTAAGTTGTATCAACATAATAATATTAATCTTTATTGAAATAAACAAATAAATATGTTGTTGGTTAAGAGTACTTCATTGTGAATAAAAAAAACATAGGTTTTATCCTGAAAATTCTACGGGAACTCGACCATTCCGAAAACCCCGCAAGAACGGTAACTATGTGGGAAGAACCAAAAATCTGCCGGAAGTCACTATTCCACGCGGACGAAGTCGCGGCAAAAGCTAGTCTATAATATAAACATACTAGTAAACCCAGCGAACTCCGTTTCGCCACCAGAAGGCTTTGTTTTATGTAACATTTCGTTTGGTGATTAAAAGATGATGATTTTTTTTGTTTTATATTTGAAAAAGAAAACTTTTATTTCATTTCACAACAGTAATGAATTCATTTCGATGTTATTTGTTATTAAGTTGAACTTCTCTAAGTAAATAAAAGTGAATCAACCTCTCTAAGTAAATGAAAGTGAATCCAAAGTAGATACCGAATCGAAGCGTTAAACGTGTCCGCAAATTATACGTTTCATTGAAGTGCTCCTTGTAAACCACATTTTTTTGTTTTTTGGTCGTTGTCGTAACGTTAACACAAATAAAGCGGATGGTTTCCCAACTCGTGAACACGCAAAGTATAACTGCCCATGTGAAAAACAATGATTTTCTTTATCCCGCAAATACATACTAAATGGTTTTAAGAGTTTAAACTACAAACACAATACCGGTTCCTTTGTCATATGAAATTAAAAGAGCAGAGAACAATGAGTAGCTGTCAAACAATGTATCATGATCCCGCACCATCTAGTACATGTTATGTATCAGAGTTGGCGATGTATGTGAAAAAATATTTTCCCGCTTTTCTGTTGCAATTTTTCCTGAATTTTTTCGGAATTTCAGGAAATGAAATGAAAATCAGGACGTTTGTTCTGGAGTTATAGCGTCAGGAAGGTCGAAGGAAAACCGGACTTATTTATATATGTATAGTAGATTTCATACAAATATCAAATTGTCATCCATACGTCATTACATATCTGTCATTCCAAGTCTGATTCTATTTGACGTGATAACGTCTTTAAAATCGTTTTAGTCGGGTGACATGTTCAGAAACTTGTGTCACACCAAAACCTCACGAGCGCGATCGCAGGTATAACGAGAGAGAGACGGACCGATCTCCCGTCTCATCTCGAGCGCTGCCAGTTATTTCGTGAAACTTGTCACGCGGAATCCTCACGAACGGAGGCAGGCATAGCGTTCGAGTGAGTGGACCGACCTTCCGTCTCTCTCACTCTAGCGGCATACAAACGAATGGAGATTTTAACTGATTGTAACTGATCGTATTGTATGTTATGTATGTATGTATGTATGCATAAATGTTTGTATAAATGTATAAAAGTATGTTTTTATGAATGTATATATGAAGAAAAATGTATATCATAGTCGAATAAGTAAACTTGTCATTTTACACCCGAAATTTATCATCAAAAGTGGGAATAAAACGATAGATGTAATTTAAAATTTGAAAAAATTGTTATCTTCATTAATTCCTTACTTCCCAAAAACTTATATCACCAATAAGACGTTATCACGTAAACATCTCGATCGTAAACCTACTTTACAAACAACCAATTTATTTTTGTTATACCACGTTTTGTAGTGACTGACGTTTCATGTCAATTCCCACGGGAATGCTGTCGAACGGGATAAAAAGTATCCTATTGCATTTTCCTGTTGATAACAAAGTGTCATGTATTGGCGATTATTTTGATTTACTTTATAAAATCGATTATTATTATTGATAAAATTTTTTGTAATTAAAACATCCAACAATCTGAGTATTAGCGGGTGGAAGATAAATTCAAGCCAGTCATTTAGACGTAAATTCAGTTCATATTGATAATTTTTTTTATTAAGTACGCTACTATTACCTACAACTAGCCAAAATGTGAATTAAAATGATAAAATTATAGTAAAAACTAAAAATAAAATATCATTAATTAAAATGTACTTTTAATTAATGATATTTTATTTTTACAAGGAAGATTATGTTGAATGGCTTGCATGAAGTATCTTCCCATATCCTCATCTTGTCTAAACACAAAATTGCTCTTTAAATAAATTATATTAAAAATTCCAAGAATTACATTCTAATACTATTAAAGTTTCATATTTTTGACCAAATAACTGAAATAAATATTCTGAAAACAAATTTCATCTGTAAAAAATTTACACAACATTATCACATTAAATAAAATAAAACAAATAGTTGATTATATAAACATTCTCAAATATTTATTAACCAATTTACATAAAATCATTATCATTATGTACATCTCATAGCTTTAGTTCATTAAATCATAACATCTCGTTATGGAGGGCCGTTACATGAATCAGATACTATGTTAATCAAGCACCAAGTCGCGATATTTTGCCAAGCTCTTCATTATGGAACCGTGTTCTCAATGTGGATATGTCTAGCCAGCGTCCAGACTTGACAAATAACATACAGAAAGAAACTTAAGGTCAACAAAGATCATATCCAACTTGAACCGGGAATAAATGTGGTTAATAACTAACATAAATAGGAAACTATTGTAAAGTAATCACTTAAATTTAAAAAAAAACAATCCAAACAATAGTATATGGGTATCAACATTTCATTGTTTTCATGATGACATAAAATTATTTACATTGTCACAGATTAAAAATATATAATCGCTTACAGGAATGTTACTACACTAATATATGAGGAGATAGAAGCTATAAAGAAATCTCAAAATAATAACTAGTCTTAATAAAATATATGAGCTACATGTAGTGACAAAACATCAATGACTAAGTTTTTACACTCATCAATTTTGTTTGAACCGGTATAACTTATTGTTTCATAATATTTATTAAGTACATAACCATATAATCCATCTTCCGTTTATTTACTATACATATACATATGTTACAGTTCGTTATGTACAGAGCGGGACAAAGATTTTATATAACTCCATACAAATAATATTTTTAAATCATTATCTCACATTAAATGTCAATTTATAAATATTATCAATGACAACACAATTTGGGCCGTGTATTGAAAATTCTTTGATGCAATAACTTTCTTATACTGTGAGAGTAATGCAAATATCAGCAAACAATATATACACTGTAATTTTAATTAATCATATAGATTCAAAAAATATATAATCCAGGCATTTTGTATCAACATGTGTCGGATAAAAATTACATTGTTGGGCCCCCAAACTAAATTTAGACTTATGTTAGGAAATTATCTTAAAGTGGAATGTTAAATAAATCTCTAAGTGACGGCTAACCTACGTTACACACACTATAAGTTCAGTACTTTTGATAGTAACATTGTTTAACTTATATGTAGCGCAAAACAACAAGCTGCCAAGTGACACATCCTGATTCTCATCATTCAATACAATCTTCTATAACTTAGGCCAGAAATCATCAAGGAGATAAATATGACAACAAATATAAACACAATGTAACTAAATTATATTAGTAAAAGTGTGAAAGGTTAAGGAAGATTGTATATTATATATAACTGAATAAGTCATAGACATTCCAGAGCTCGCTTCACCCATATATTTTCACTTCAACTTAACAATATATTGTTTTTATCGTCCGTTCGAGTCCCGGTCGTAGCTAACAGGCGCGTGTGTGTGTGTGTATGTTTGTATGTGTGTGTGTGTCTGTGTCAGTTGAATAGGTCGGGTGGGAAGCTATTCACTTCTGCCTGTTCCAAGATAGGGTTGCCGTCTATCGTGTAGGACACTCTTATTCTCAAACGAAGTGGTGTCTGGAAATTAAAATTCTTATATTAGATAACAATTATTAATTATATTGTTGCTTGTGACATGTTTTTTATGTATAAGACAAATCTTATTACCAAAACATTGTATATTTTATAATTAGTGTCTTTATATCAAAGCAAGGGTTAGTTAAAACTCGATTATATCCAGTGGCGGCTGTACCTTAAGTGCACTCGTGCGCTGAACCACCAATTCAAAAGATTTAAAAATTACATAATATTACTTCATCTTTATTTTTAAATTACCATTTTAATATTTATTTTTTAAACATACAAAAACGTTTAAAAAATTAAATTTCCTAATTATGGTCAAAAAGTTTGAGCGCTTTACTAAACTAATATCTCGTGCGCTTCGGCGAGTGCACGAGGACTGCTAATACATCTTGTATGAGATACGCATTAATACGCCTGACGCGTGAAACAAAAGATAGTTCATAGAAATGTACCGAGTAATGAGTCGGTTCTCGAGCGCCGCACGAGCGAACCGAAGATTACCGAGAGCACCCGATGAATGACGAATTGGAATTGAAAAGAATCAAAACTTTTCTCCGAAATGTTAAATGCACGTTCTATGCTTCGTATTGAAAAAACATTTATACAAACAATAACCGATTTTAATAAAAAGGTGATTGAACATTTCGGTTTAGAAAAATGTCATTGCATTGATTTAATGTATAAAAAACAAACATATTTTATGTCAATTGTTGTTTTGTTGCATTTTCTAATTTTAATATTTTAGTAAAGTGCACCACCAGTTCGATAACCCACCAGCCGCCACTGATTATATCTATATTGTTTTAGTATCTTTTTTTTCATATTGTTCTATGAACATTTGTAACATTAATGTTATTCTTCATACCTTGGATGGATTGGTGATCTTAAGGACTTGTGTTATTTCTCCCTGCGGCGTCAGAACCGTCCCTGATGGAGACATCATGTCCAACCGGAATGTCTGTGGATACAAAAATAACATAACTCACTCCACATGAAACATAGACATAAGATACTTATAATAAATATGGAATAACTATTTCAGTAAAACAAAAATTCCTGTGGTACATAAAACTATATACATATAAAACTTATATTTTAGGATTACAACGAATTATTTACCGTTATCACGGGCAGACGGTTGCAAGAAAGTTAAACCGAAACTATGAGAGTATGTAGTTTAATATAAAAAAAAAATGCGTAGTAATCCGAAAATTAAAGTTTTTTTTATATGAATACTCACGAACGAATCGTCTTCAAGTCTTATATCTTAATATATATTATATTATAAATGTCTCTTTATATCCAACATCAAGTTAAATATAGCTTTCCTATCAATTTTAGATGAGGACTTTACATGTCATATTATTTCACAGTATGTAGTAATATATTATAGGTATACCCTGGGCACAGCGGCCTGGAACAGGAAGTCGGTGATGGTGTTGTGATGGTGCGAGCTGGCCTTCATGGTGAGGGTCGCGCTCCCGTCACCGCCACACACCACCAGCTGCACCGACACGCCGCCACGATCTAACGCTTTGACCACCGTTTCTGGAAATATATGAGTTATACGATAATATGTATGATACATATTAAATATACTAAATATATGTGTGACTGACCTTGTGGTGTGGCCGCTGCGGGTGAGAACAATCCGTCCAGTAGGAGTGAGGGAGCCGTTGATACATTATTATTGGAGACACTGACCGGTGTACTGCTGGACAGGTCTAGACCGCTCAGAAGATCCAGAATGTCCTGGAAAATAACAATACAATACATTAGAATAATTAATATATCATCATCATCATCAGCCTATCAGAGCCCACTGCTGAGCAAAGGCTTCTTCTCACATGGAGAAGATATAAATATATTCTCAAGAAAAAAATAATAATATAGAAGCATTGTGTGAAAGAGATGCCGACTCACTTTTTGGTTGTCGGTCATCAAGGTGACATTGCTAAAGGATTTAAAATGTTAATATTTGTTAGCAATTAATTCTAAAGCTATTTTAAGTACATATGTATATAACTCTGTTATTAGTTTATTTGTTGTACTTGTGTTTGCAGATCATTATTTTGATCGTTAATTTACCTTAACATTCGTTCATTTTAATTAAAATCTACTATCAAGTGTCATATAGTTATTTTCTTTGTATTAATTCGAAGGTAATTGTTATATATACATACATTAGTATTGGAGTTATTGTTGGTAGTAACTTGTGGTTGATGTTCCACGTCGCCGTTCGACAGAGGCTCTGAACCGATGATGAGGTCTAGCAGCGCGTCCTGAGAACATTAAATATATGATTAATATTTCAATACATAATATAAATGTTTCAAAAAATACCTCATACTGTGTATATGTAATATTTATTATACACATACATCGCTATATTTCACCTTTGATAATATTTTAATATAGGTATGAGTAATTTAATATATCTATTTGTCTTTGACTTTGTAATTATTTTAATGTAGTGTTTTAAAACATATAATACTGTTATATTGTAATTCCAAAGCCACAAAATTAATTTGATGTGTAATCTACCATATTGTAAAGTTTTATAGAAATTCGTTAAGTATATTTAACGTGAACGAGTAACAAACATTGAATTGATAATATTTGAACATTTTAACAACATATAGGTCCTACAATATATATGTATGTCCTTTTTTTTCCGGGGAGAAATCCGCTATATATATGTATGTCCTACCTGTTCGTGCGCGGGTTGTTCGTGTGTCTGTGTGTTCGTCGCGAGCTCCTCATCATTATCTTCTCTAACGACGTTCGTTTCCATCGCCGGCATTCGTTCCAACAACGCCGGCCGTAAGTGGGCGTATTGTCTGAAATTATATAAAGTTACTTGAAACTAACAATATACTCTCAATATATTATTTTGTTAAAAACACGACATATATTTGACTATATTTAAAAAGCATTAATACCTTTAAATTGATTTCAAACCGCCAATATAAGTAAGGGATTTGGTTATTTATTTATTTATACTTTATTGTACAACATACTAAAACTAAAAAAATACATTATCGTTATACATATATTACTAATGCATGATGTGCAACAGGCGGCCTTATCGCTAAACAGCGATTTCTTCCAGGCAACCTTTGGGTAGAGGATAATAATGTGGAAGGGTAAATACAAATTAAATACAAATAACAATAAATATATATATAACACAAATATACATATATACTATATTAAATACATACATACATAAATATATACATAAAATACATATAATAAAATAGGAGATATTAAGTAGACAAGATATTAACAATAACAACTGACTGCTTAGAACTGTTGAGAAAAGTAAAAGTCCTTAACCATTTTTTTAAAAATGGCTAAAGTTATACAAACAGATGGATACAAAATCGTCTAAAATAAGGAAAGTCAAATAACACATACTTGTATAGTTGAGACAGCTCCACTCCTCTCTGTTGTAACTCGATGTGAATGTGTGAACCGAAAGTGTCGATTATTACACGGATTTTACTGAAAAAATAAAATAAAAGGAATATTAAATTATGATACGTAAAAAACTCATTCATAGTCAAAAAAATCTTTCTGGTTTTTGGTGTCTAAATTGCTATAATCACAAAATAATGTTCTGTATCAAGATATTTTTATATACTGTATTATTCTTGCTTAAATACTTATATGTTATCTATGAAAGTAATATAAGAATCATTATATATATGGTACCTTTAAGGACCTCATACATATATGTTAAATCATATAGTAATTTGAATCCCATGTATGTATGTATTAATAGTAGTAATATCCACTCACTCCTGACTGGGTTGCGTGGTGAACCTCGTGGACAGCTTGGCCAGTGACAGCAACAGATACTCCTTGGTCGTTATAGACAGCTGCGTGGACCACAACAGCTTCTGGTATATATCGATCACGTACTCCTCGGACGGCCGCGTGAAGTCATCTAGCAGACAAGTTAATCATGATGAACAAATTGAGATCGAACCATTCAAATATATAAGACAGGAACCCAAATAACATATATATAATAAGGTCTAGGTTCCTAATGAACTGAAACTAAAACAACATATTATAAATATTATAAAAAGTGTAAAAGTGTAAATATTATAAAAAGTGTAGATCTTACGTCTTACGAAGTCACATTACAGGCAATAGATGGCGCTGAGAGATGGTTACCACATATTATTATAATTATTTAAAATAAATCAGTTATTTTTCTCTAAGCTCAACAGATGTTGTCGCGGTCATAACCTAGTATTGTATATATGTATGTGGTGTATGTACTCACCAACTCCGTCGTCATCCACCATTGATATAGAGTTACTGGCTTCAGACACCAACATGTCTCCATATTCACCGATGGTCCACGCAGCAACCTACAGCAACAACAGTGTTACTTGATTGATAGACAAATAGAGTTTATTATATGAAGGTTAGAGGATAAAAATATATTTATAATACTTTTACAAACTATAAGAATTTATTTTGGTTTATAGTTTTCAATAAAAATATAAAGTAATAAAAGTAAAGTAAGTAAGTATTAAGTAATAAAAATAAAGTAAGTAAAGTAGTTTTAAAATAATAAAATACGCGTAGTAATACGAAAAATATTAGCTCCAGTTAAACGAATACTCGCGAAAATCTTAAATCGTTTTTAAAATTTTATCATCAACACTTCTTGATTTATAAATAAACTAGAAGACCTGGCGAACTTCGTATCGCCCTATAATGAAGAAATATCTATTACGTTTTTTTATTTATATTTTTGGAGGTTACCTGTAAGCCATAAATCTCCGTGTTTTGAAGTGCGACAGAATGATTGACATATTAGTTACTTGTCAAATCGAATGTCCAAAAAAACTTTTGTATGGGAAATAGAAAAGGGCTGTTTTTATGGTTTTCCCAGTAATGAATCAATTTTTTTCAGCTTTTATACCTCCACGAACATTTCAAGACTAAGATAAGATAAATCCGTTCAGCTGTTCTCGAGTTTTAGCGAGACTAAGGAACAGCAATCCATTTTTATATATATAGAAGAAGAAGATACCAGATATCGTCGGGGATAGTACATATCCGCGTACTTAGCATTGGATAATTCCGCGTATCTACATTGAAAGCAGATTATCAGAAGAAAGTTTAAGCTGAAATATTTTCTATATTAATGACTTTTAATATATTAAAATTATGCAATGGTAGTTACTCCGATTCGCACTTTCCCCGTCTGTATATGTATCGTTAATAAACTATGTTTTATTTAACCTGGATCAGCGGCTGTCTCTCCGTAGCGTCGGCGGCGGTCGCCGATCGTTCCAGCGAGGTCCACAGCCTCATAGCGGCGTAGGCCTGACGCTCGCTCGGCGCCGAGGACACTATCTGGATAGTGTTGGACACGGTGTCGTCACGGAGATAGTTACCCGCCTGGAAATATACTCATGTATTACTGACATTATGTTATATAACTTCAAATACTGTACAACAACATATATTAAGACAAGACTTAGGTATAGCAGATATTTTCAACTGATTGATATGATAGTTTTGTATAAACTTAGTTTGCTTTTAATGATGGTTGAGTGACGTCATCCTGCTCTGCTGGTTGAACATCCAAGATGGCGGACTAGAAACTTCTATGTACACTGACAGTGACTGTTATAATGAATCTAATACACATGAATCATTGTATTTTATAAACTAATCCCTTTCATCACCAGTTCTTCTCATCTTGAACAACACCGGTTATATAGTAATATCTATCATAATTCCCAAAGAGGGTTGATGTCAGGCAGGTGGCCGGTCGTAACAACAATTCATGTAAGGCAGACCCTGGCTATAGCCAGATCGTAGTAGTATCTATCATATGTATGTTCCAGGTGTCCGGCTCACCTTGAGCAGCACCTGGAACAGCGTGTCCAGGTGCCACCTGCTGGAGGGCGCGTGTCTCTCCGCGGCCAGCACCATAGCGCTGGAGCAGTGCGCCTTGAACTCCGCGTCCGAGCGCTCCAGGAACGACAGCAGCTCCTTCATCATGGCGCGGATGTTCTGACTGTTGATGAGGGCGAAGGACAGCTCCATGGCGCGGCGGCGGATCGACACGTCCGGGTCCTGGAAACATACATAGACAGATATATTAATATTCATCATCATCAGCCTATCAGAGCCCACTGCTGAGCAAAGGCCTCTCTTCACATGGAAAGGGTTTGAGCATTAATCACCACGCTTGCTCAAGACGGGTTGATGATTTCAAACTTATAATTTGTATTATTAGTCCAGATTTCCTTCACTGTCTGTCTATGGTGTCTAAATACTTTAAGATAGTACATATGATTCGAAAAAACCACTTGCCAGGTATCGAACCCACGACCTCGTGCACGAGAGGCGTGCCTGGAACCTTTAGGCCACCACAATTACTAAATTTACAAAAATAATTTGGTTTGTGTGGCACAGAAGTGTTTTCACCTCTCGGAAAGGCGAACCTTTAGATAGATTAGATCACCCTTTGTACACTTTTCCTACATTGTTTTTGTTTTGTGTCAGTACAATAGAGAGTATTATTATAAGTCTATAATTTATTAACTAATATGATATGTAAGATTTTTGTGAATACATATATATATAAAAATATATTATTCTGTTTTTATGGGACCATTTTTCAGAGACTACCAACATTAACAAAATTTTAATAGCTATGTAATAAGATATTATCATCAATAGTAAAAGTAAACCCATATGTATGTTTTTGCGTTATTCAAATAAATATAGATATTTTAATATTTATATAAATGTTCTAAGACAGTACCTTCAAGCATTCCAATATAGTGGTCCTATGTCTTTGTACCGCCGATGTATCAACATGTACAGTCCTCAGAAGTGTATTCAAGGCCACGTAGCGTATATTCTTATCGTTATTGAGCAGGAATCTCCCCAGTATATTGACGGCCAGCACCCGCAAGCTACTTTCAGACTTAATGTCCATTATTGAGAGCACAGTTTCGTATAATATGGTGTTGCCGACGTTTTTGCTTGTTTCGGTATTCGTCGCCACTTGTGCTAATATATCGTTCATAGCTTCGGAAGCCTCAGCGTCATTTTTTCCAAGTATACGTAACAGACGGAGTATCTTGACCTGGAATTGTTTTCAAATAAAATGAATAATAATAACGAAGTTTTATATTCAGTATTGCCATATAAACGAAATAAATTAAAAATCTTATTTAGGGATACCATATTTTTTTCAAATAATTAAAAGAGCATAACTGATATATTGTGTAATTTAAATAAATATTTTTGGTGATACTATCGACATAATGGTGATATTCATATATTTAATATCCTATAATTTATATTTTATATATATACCTGTAAGAATGGATCAGACACGCCGCTGACGTCATGCTCCGGGGAATATCCCGCCAGTATCAAATTCTTCAATATCCTCACCAGATTTGGTACGATCTGAAATATATAAACACATCAATTAAACATATAACCTCATTATATACAACACAAATACATATAAAGCTCTGTTATATACAATAACCAGCCAAGAGACTAAATACGACCCTTTTATATACACAATCCGAAAACCCCCAAGAAAAAATCCATTGCAATATTATCACATGTGCGTTCAATCATTTTTGTATGTATGTCTGTAAAGTGATTTTATTTAACACCAAACTACTTTTATTTTCTATATACTTATACTAGAATACTCGGATTACAACGATACTTGCTATATACATTTTAAATACTGTAAAGTATACATATATATTATATAAGCTAAATCTCAAGGTTAGTTTTCGTGTGTCGATAGCCTTTAGGATCCAATAAATTTCAAAGGTCAACCTATTTGATATATCGCGAGGGTCAAAGGTCAAAATCCATTTAAAGGCTAACGACTACCCCAGGCGTTACATATAATATATATCAAGTACATAATGATTACACAATCATGCGTATCATATTACAGCCTTTCGTTAGACACCACAATAGAGAAGATTTTATGGGATTTTAATCGTTATTCTAATGTTATATGGTATATAATTCTATCAAAAAACTGTAATACATATAAGGGTCAGCGTTTGTTTACCTCCCGCTGTCCGCTCTCCTAAGAACAACACAAACAATTTATTAGTACATATACATATTAAATATTTAATTTATACAACTTAACATAAGCCTATAAAGCCTTGTGTGTGTGACTGTACATTGTTTTATCGATAAGCAATAACAAAGGTGACGTCACTATTTACAATATATATCTTAGTCCTAGCATTTACGTACATGTATATATTATTATTTATTATGTATATATAGCATTAGAGCGCTTCACATTAGCTTATTATCAATCAAAGCTAGAATAATTTTTATTTGAATTGATTTAACTTGTAAAATATTTGGGTAGTATGGAAATACCTTTACAGATAAAATCATTATCACTATAAAAGATTATTTTGGATAAAAATAGATAGGAATTAAATATTCTATGAAAATTCAAACAATACAATAATTCATTAAATAATATATATGTATATATATTTTATTTATATGATATAATATCCTTATATTAATGCCAGTATTTTTTTCTATACTCATGATACTTGTATAGAATAGCAATTGGTCATTACATATATAAAACAATTCTTTTGTTTTGTCAGTCATATAAGAGAATTAGAATTTAAAAAAAAAACATTGGTTTTATGTAATTAAAAAGAAATATAAACAAATGTTTGTACATATAGATATATATGTATACATTTTAATATATTTTTAGCAATCAGTTTTAATTCATTACTTCCTACAATATATTTATAAGATCAATAAAGAACGTTCCTAATCAGTTAAAAGTATGTTATTCATTGAATAAAAAATTTATATTCAAACAAAAAATTAGTTTTGAAGTTATTGCATAACACACTAACAAACATACACTCAAAGACATCCATACATACTTTCTGAATACAAAATCTTTGAGAGTCACCTGACTCATTTACAAATTTGATTCATTCATTCAGCCATTCCCTATATATTATGTTAGCTGGCAAATATACACTATATATACAAACAAAAAAGGCTCTTATGTAATGTAATTAAAGTCTATAATACCTTTTTGAAGTGATTGAGCGTGTCTGGACTGTTCTCACACATCTCAGTGATGAGCGTCACGCCGGTAATGAGGACTCCTGTTGATGAATGAATGAAATATTAAGGTAGAGGCTCGTGACCAAATATCAAGTAAAGTATCAAATATATTTAGTTATAATGTACTTGAATTACAGAACAGGTAAAGGAAATCAATCTTAACTCAGCAATGTCCATTGTTATGAATAATAACAATGGGTACAGTTTTCTAAATAGCAAAAGAATTCACTATGACGTGACGTCATTCATTAAATATGTTTATTCCTATTGAACTAAATTATTAATAGTTAATCTAATGCGCTATTTTCAATAATACAACTGGATTCGAACCTACATCGTTGGGAGTATCGTCTTCAATTGCTTTCCCAACTGAGCTATCATGTATTATATAAAATTATAAACTATTAGAACTTAGGTGCTATCTATTAGGATTTCTTATAAAAATATTTGGACATTCTTATTCAAGTTTGTAGTATAGAAGCATAATAAAGTTTCCATAGTAAATCTTTGTTAATATATTAGCAGCAGATTGCGTTATATATACTGACCGTGATTCTTTTCCGTGAGTAGACTCCGTGTCGCCGGTAGAAACATCTCCATTAAGTCCGGCACCCTTCTTATTATTCTAAAGGCACACAAGGCGGCTTTCTTCTTGATGTATGCGTTCGGTGACTTGATCAGCCTCTCCACCTCTGAAGCCAAGTCTCGTGCCATCTCTGGAGAGGCGATTGCCCCCAGGGTACATAGGGCAAGACCCACTACGAATTGTGTATTGCTGTTCAGGTCACTGGAAACGATTGTGGTGGTTAGATGATAATTAATTTGATTTTGTAATCTTATTGTATATATCTATTCTCAATTCTGTTTCACTGGTAAAAAGCCATGGACCATTTAAAACGATTATGTCGAGATGATTAATAAACATCAACAATTTTCGACAAAACTAGAATTAGGAAACAAAGCAGTTTGTCTTGTTTATTAAACCAAGTAGAAATAATAATTTTGTATAAAAATTAGAGTGGATTAAAGCATATGATTTATTACAGATATGATTTATTGCATATGATTTATTTTAGATATTATCATATCTCTATGCAAGAAACCTGTGCGAGATATTTAAAATTAAGGCATCGTAATCATCCATTTTGGGATTAAGTTACTAGCTCTAATGGAGCGGGAGACAATCGACTTCAAGCAGAAAAGCACAGCAGTAGTAAAGAAACTACTGTCTCAGTCTCCTTAGATTATGGTCAAAAAGTCCTTCCCTAAATACTTCTACTTTTTTCCGGCGAAAATCTATGTTCTCACAACCTCAAAAAGCCCAGCGATCATTATGATTAACTATTCAAATTCTACGATGTACGAGCCTTTAACGTGTCTAGATCTATATCTAATACTGCTACAGTTCCATAATCTTGGAATCTGGCCAATAGCACAAAGAAAGATGACAGTTTATGTCCGTTTAATTAGATATGTATTGTTAAACCTGGATCTCAAGTTAGCACTATAGATGGGTCAGTTTAGCTTTATAGCAACACTTTACCAGTCAAGTCAGATAAACTGTGTAATGGAACTAGGGTTTTGAAGAAGAGACTTTTTAAATATGATTTACTACATTATCCTGACGTTTTGAAATACAGGAATTATTAAGAGCAAACGAGATGAAATTCTTTCATATCATCTGATTATGCTTATCACGGTACCCCAAATATAACGTAATATGTATCCAAAGAACTTAGCTTCATTCAGTAAAATGAATACACGCGAAAATCTTAGATATCAGAATGTTATCATATAGCCAATATTAAAGACTTAACTTGGAACTCTTAAACTAACAAAAGAGAAGATACTTCGTTTTATGTGTTTTATCTACAATCTAGAATTTTGGGAGGAATTAACGCTAATATCGCAGTTTTAGTACCACAAATGATAAAAGTTTTCATATCGTATAGACAAATAGAAGCTGTTTTTCGTAAAAAAAAACTATACATGTCCTAGCACCCTTCTATCCATGAACTAGCAACAAGTCGAATAAAATATATTATGAAGGTTTTCGAGGAGTTTTAAAAACCAAAGTATTTCTATTCGAAAATACCAAAAAAATCTAGTAAAAAATACAATAATTTTAAACTGCTTTCGTATTTAAGCCACTATTTAACACATCGCTTGTGTGCAATCTATTTACATAAGAAATGATAAAGTTATGCAGACTTTGTTTAAACATTCTAATATTACGTAAACGACGCGTAAAACTGTTGCAATTACCACGATAACGACCGATAACAGCATGAGGTGAACATGTTAAAAGACGGAACAATACATCGTCTTTGACTTAAAATTATAGCAAAAATATTAATATACTAGCTTACTAGCTAACCCGGCAGACTTCGTACTATCGTTCGTACAATCGAGAAATAAATAATTTCTTTATTATTTTTTTTTAGATTACCTTTAAGCCATAAATCTCAGTTATCTGAAGTGCGATAGAATAGTTGACATATTAATTAGTTGTCAAATCTAATGTCAAAAAAACGTTTGTATGGGAAATAGAAAAGGGCTATTTTTAGGGTTTTTCCGGGTATAAATCAATTTTTTTCAGCTTTTAAACCTTCCCTGAACCTCTACGAACATTTCAAGGTCTAAGATAAGATAAATCCGTTCAGCCGTTCTCGAGTTTTAGTGAGACTAACGAACAGCAATTCATTTTTATATATGTACATAACATTTAGAATGTCTTAAAACACGCTTTATTTCTACTACATTTCTTATAATATCCAAATATAGCTATCATTGTTTATTTTAACGTATTATATCACAGTTATTTACACATTAAATTGGTCATGTTTATGGCGTCCCGGATTTGGCGTGATTAAAGTATATAAAAGATTTTATCGTCGGCTAACAGACGGTCGCGATCAACCATTTCATTTACACTGACACGAATTAATTTCGTTGGAAAAATATACAAAGTGGACATACATATACAGGGTGACTGGTGAATTACTATCAATATATAAGGAGCATACTCGGTACATGATTCTCATTCGAATTATGTAAAAAATAGGTACTTAATTTTTGACCAAATTTCCGTATAAATAAATAAAGTGTGTACACGTTCCAAGTGTTCCAAGTGTGGACGCGTGCGGCGGCGTGCTGATACAACACTGCGCCGCCGCGCGCGAGTGTGTGCGTGTGTGTATACCTAATCTGTAGGGTGTTCATACGATGCGTAATTAATTACATAACTTTTGGTTAACTTTACTTAGAAGTTTATTAATATTTATGTTATATTAATTTTTATTTTGCCATATATGATCGTCAAATATCTCGTTCTCAAATATTGATAGTAATTCACCAGTCATCCTGTATATACAGGGTGACTGGTGAATTACTATCAATATTTAAGGAGAATACTCGGTACATGATTCTCATTCGAATTATGTAAAAAAAAATAGGTACTTAATTTTTGACCAAATTTCCGAATAATAAATAAAGTGTGGACACATTCCAAGTGTTCCAAGTGTGGACGCGTGCGGCGGCGTGCTGATACAACACCACGCCGCCGCACGCGTGTGTTTGTGTGTGTGTGTGTGTATACCTAATCTGTAGGGTGTTCACACGATGCGTAATTAATTACATAACTTTTGGTTAACTTTACTTCGAAGTTTATTAATATTTATGTTATATTAATTTTTATTTTGTCATATTATATGATCGTCAAATATCACGTCCTCAAGTATCGGTAGTAATTCACCAGTGACAATGTATACAGTCAGTGGTGGCCTAGTGGTTAAAAGGCCCGCCTCTCATGCATGGGGGCGCGGTTCGATTCTGGCAAGTACCAATGTAATTTTTCCGAGTCATATGTACTTTCTAAGAGTATTTACTATTTAGAAATCACTGATTAATGCATTCCCAAAGAGCGTTGATGTCAGGCAGGCGGCCGGTCGTAAAAACAATTAGCCAAAAACTATTCATAGCATGTAAGGCAGATCCTGGCTAAAGTTGAGAAATTGCCAGGTAGAAGAAGATATGTGTCATTCAATATATTCTACTAGAATTAATTCCTTTTGAATAATCAAGATTTTCTTTGACAGAAATACACTGAATGCTGGCTTGTTATTAAATAACCTTTGAAATATGTATGGTAAATTCAAAGAGCTGGTTTTATGTGAATAAATAAAAATCAAATGACGTTGAATTGTAAAACGAATCTGTTTCAATTAGGGCGTGAAGAGATCATGCCGTGTCAACGAGGCATCCTTAACCCAATAACGTTATTGGAAATACATACATATATATTTTTCTAATGGAGTTAGCATATTTTTTTATTTATTAATGAAGTCCTGTTTATATATTGGTCGATTATTTTAAAAACAATGCTCGGAATTAAAGTACCCAGTAAATATTATAAATGCTTTTTATAATTATGCTTATCAAGTTTTGAAATAATTATATCAATGATTGGTCAAGTTGAATTCTTTTAATTCTATTCTTTAACTTATTCGGCTATCCTTTACGTTTTACCACCGAAGCCACGTTGGTTAACAACAAATTTGTGAGTTATAACTGAGTAATATTTAATAATCTTTCAACTATAAAAATAAAATAAGTTACAGAGTTCATTGAACCCTAACTAACACGTAAACGTTTACGTGATTAAATCCATTGGTATTTATATTTATATATGTTGTTCTTGTAATTTATATATGTATATTATTGTAATGTAACATGAAACTACGTTTCCTCAAAATATTGTTGGGAAAGTAATACAATCACGTCCAGAGCGTATCAAATGTACGGCTTTGTTAGTGTGATGTACGTACACGGTCACAAGTATATTGTAAAATAAATAATAACGTTCATTATTGCTTGAGTCACCTTCCCAAGCCTGTACATGCGAATTGTTGTACAAATACTTATTCAACGTCTACATATCCACGCGACAATAATTTAAAACAAATAATATATTTTGCATAACTAAACTAACATATTTATTTTATTGAAGAAGGAAACAAAATTCCGAATAAAACATTCCTTATTATTTATTTGGTACAAATCCATTCAGACATAATTAATTTTAATTAAATTCTCTTTGGTATTAAAACCATGAGGAAAATCATATTTTATGTAATGTAAAATCCACATAAGTTCTAAATGTACTAGAGAAAAATATTAACCCATGAATCAAATCGAGGGGCGCGTCTTATCTTACTTCTCTATATTAAAGTAATATGCAACATTTGTTAGGACAAGTCATCTGATAACTAACTGACTAGTCATACAACGTTATCAGATAACAGAGCGAAAATTTAGAGGAACTGATTTAGAAATAATGACTATAAGAATCGGAATATATATATACATCAACAAACTAGTAAAAGATTCAAAGCCCAAAGAAATACCGAACAGTTTAAAAAATTTCAATCATTATATACTATGATATAGTTTGTATTATAATGTCAATTTTTTTTAACTCTTATTGAATCCATGAATTTTTGAAGATATAGTTGTAGCAAAATATAGGTGATGATATGTAAACAGCAAAATAAATCTGAAAATAGATCAGTACTACCATAACTCATCTTATAATGCCCGTTATATACAAAAACTATATACAGGGTGACTGGTGAATTACTATCGATACTTGAGGACGTGATATTTGACGATCATATATGACAAAATAAAAATTAATATAACATAAATATTAATAAACTTCTGAGTAAAGTTAACCAAAAGTTGTGTAATTAATTACGCATCGTGTGAACACCCTACAGATTAGGTATACACTGACACTCACACATACGCGTGTCGTGACGTAGTGTTGTATCAGCACGCCGCCGCACGCGTCCACACTTGAACACTTGGAACGTGTCAACACTTTATTTATTTATACGGAAATTTTGTCAAAAATTAAGTGCCTATTTTTTTTACATAATTTGAATGAGAATCATGTACCGAGTATGCTCCTTAAATATTGATAGTAATTCACCAGTCACCCTGTATATACACTACACTTGCGTGTGTTATACAAATAAATACGTATATATATGTATATAATTACTCACTTCTTCAAACAGTTGGTAATCAGCAGATGTACATCTTGACGTTCATCGAGTAGCAACATAGCTCCAAGATAGCCGACCCTCTTGTCTGTGAAACGGGTGCTGGCTATGAGCTTGAGACACTCCAACTGTCCAAAGTGTGCTGGATAACCCAGCATATGGATGTAGAGAAGCTTCGCTATGTTCCGACATCTGAGGATGAAATATCGTTGAATAGTTTACAAAGACTCACTAAAAATTCACTTTAAAACAATATTAATTGTTGTAAAAATTCATAATAACTTAATACTAATTAAATATCAGCATAGATATAGATGTAAATGTTTCTCTATTTCAATAATATTACTTGTAATAATTTAATTAAGACATATCATGACAAGATCTCAAAGCATTTAAAGCCTAACAACTAACAATAAATGGTATAATTATATAGAATTAACTATAAACCCCACCTCCAAACACTATCTTCCTCTCTAAACGTAGACCTGATGTATGCACACTCTTTATTCACAACGCTACGTTCCTCTGCAGCCGTTCTAGCTGCTCTTATCTGACGAATGAGGTCCCGGAGACGAGTGGGGGTCTGCATGCGCACTGAAACCGGCGCGACTGTTACACGACACACACACAGAAAAAAAACCCAAATTAATCGTTTATATAAGTAATACATAGCTTGTAATATAGTGTTAGTTAGATGTGGTATAAAACAGTAGTGTTATATATGTGCTGACCAAATGAAACATATATGTATGGAGTTTTAAGTTTGGCAGAGTTCTGTGTAAGCAAAGGTAGAAGGTGATATCTAAGATAATATATAACAGTTAATATTTCAACTAAACATATATATTTTAAAAGAAGTATATAAGGTAAATATTAATTTATTCTTTCCTATATTTAATATTTTTTCTTTGTATTTATGTAATTCAATAATCAAGTATAAAATACACATAATGAGAAAAAAAATCCAAATAAATTATATATTATTAATTCTATTAGACTTCAATAATGTTGAATATCAGTATGGCAATCCCAAGGTTTTCCCTAAAGTTAGTAAAACCCAACAGCAATTTTATTACTATTTAAAACTAGAACTATAGCACAATACATATATAAATTTGTCAATTCCAACATTATATAGGTTTAAGGCATATAAAATATATTGTTACCGTTAAAATAACTTGGCATCATTATAAAGAATAATTTTACTATATTAATGTATAAAAAATTTAATTATCAAGCATCTACTGTGTTAAGTGACACTACAAGTGAAAGTGTCTCAAAGATAATTTTACCTGATGTATTGATTGATAAACAAACAAAGTTAAAGCAGATTACTCACCTCTCTCAATTGCCTCATTTACCACTTGTTTTATCGTGGCAATATTGAATGCTGGGTTGAACCTGGAAAGGATAATGTGAATTAGATAAAATTAATCTTATGGTACATATATTTATACGTTAAATTTAATAAATAGACAAAAATAGTTTGCATACAATTAATGTTCCCATATTAAATTAATATTGCACTTGGGTTACTCTTGAGTTGAATATTAATAAGTATTTTGCATATGTCCTCTAGATAAAATAGCCTTTATTTATGTATATAACAGCAGTTTATGTTACTACTATTATATATCTTGTATAACATCTATTGATCATATACCGAACATGTATCTGTATATGAAATTGTTTAAAACATATTTTATATATGTAATGTTACACTATATGACCACAAACCACAACTAATGTTAATGGTGTTATGTATATGTATTTATACATATTATTTTCACATAATCATTGAAAAACCTTGGTTATTATTTGAATATGTCCTTGAATAACAGGGTACCACTTACAGTAACTTTGGTACTACTATATAATTGGATATTTTCACATTTATATTCATTACAAGGAGACGTTATTAGAAATTATATCTACACTTTTGAAAGAAGTTTGGTTGCTAGTAATTGTTTATAAAAGTACAGAATATATATTTTAGATATTTATGAGGTATAATATCAAGTACTAAATTTATCATAATAATTACCCAGATTCTGAGCCGTTCATCTTGGATTACTTATAAAAGTTATTGATGATTCAAAAACTATTCCTTTTAATACCAGAACTCTTGGATGGCCCGCTATTTCTCGCCACTGACAGGTGTAATGTACTTTGAAGACCGTAAATAACTTTAAAAAACTGTTATATTTTAAAGCACTCAAACTAGATTCTCAAAAAATAAGAAATAATTATTAGACTATAATAAGTCTCATAACCATTTTATCTTGTCACAAACCATAAAAATGCAAGAGAAATCGCATGCCACCTTTTATACAGCAATATCATATTTTCACTTAATAACAAAACCGAAACATTATGTATCTTTTACACTAGATTTGAGAACGTTAAAACTGAATTCCTAAAGGTAAATCTTTTATCACAGGTTTTATAGAGAAAAGTTACGGCAGCCGCCAGCTGACATTTCCTGCGTTGCAAGAAATTCAACATGGCCGATCGACATGACATCGCAGCTTGCTCGTTCCTACATTCACATGACGTTAGAAAATTATCAAAACATATCTATAATTATTAAATACGACATTTTCTATTTCTATTATATTCGTCTTATATTTCAAAAATAATAATGATTTCTTTTAATTTCTTCAAAATAAGATTTTCGTCGAGGATTTGTTTTGACTCTTCAACTGACAACACATCATTTTACGATACAATATTTGAACAAGCGCGAAAAATACGTGGTTCCTATGTCGTCATCGGATATTCTATAAAGTTAAAACCGCAACTTATGAAAAATAATCCACTTGCTATATGCAATACTATTACACTACTTAGGACAACAATAGTATTTACATTATTCTTTTACAGTAATTCACTATGTATGTTCCAATATAAACTCATTTACCCACCTTCGATTTTGTTCTGGAGGCAAAACACTCCAATCCACTTCATACATAGGGTATGCCATGATATAAAACTATTGATGCACATCAAACTAATAAATTAAAACATTTCACAAGTATGTCACATTAGTTTCGAACGCAAACTACTGTTATCAGTTATTTATCATGTGCAGGTGCTCCTCAGGTATCTGTATAATTACAATCTCTTATCACAAATACATTTATCACTAAAAAAAGGGATAGCAATACAGACACGGTACGTTTAATAATTTATTTTAAAATGTCAATAAGTATGTACAAAACAATGGCGCGAGTCACATTATCCTAATCGGAAAGCTAATTATTATTCATTGTATAGCGGTGGTATTACTAATATGTTTAATGTCGCGATTGTTAAGTTTTACAAATTGTCGTCGTGATTACGAGCCGGTCTCTCGATACTGTTCCTTTTAATGCAGTCCACAAGCCATCTGATGCCTTCGTCCACGCCATCGCTGTAAATAAATAACTTTCTTAATTACATATTAACATCTACACGAGCTACGAACGTTAGAGTTATGCAAATACGTGTTTAGCTTTCTTTATTTCACATATGTTTCTTATGTGACATACAACAATCATTATTTGTTAATCACTTGCAATATTATTAAGATTTTACGATATAGGTACTATGTAAGACGTCAGTATTGACAATATATAATGTTATATATAATTTTCATGATCAAAATACAATGAGCCATTATAATATACATCCTATTGACTAACTTAAGATTAAATGTGTTGTACATATAAATTCTAAAATGTACCTAATACATATATTTATTTCATTTACACTATTATTATTTCAGATTATATGTTTTATAATATACAATAAAATTTAAAAAAAAATTTAGAGAAACTGTGCTAAATTATATCAAAATTATTATGTATTAATAATGCAATAAAAAATTGAAAGGATATTCCTTTGTTATATGTATAATAGGAAGACATTTATTTCTTCTCAAATTTAAAAACATTTTCTATTTACATTTTTATATCCTATTTTATAAAAGAACAAAATGGCTCTATATTTAGACAATAAACAAAATGTGATATGGCTTTCTCCTATAGAATATAAGTATTTAAAGGATTCATCATACATAGTTAAATCATTTACCCCATTAAAGCCGATGTTGCCATCAACATAATATCTCTAGCTCCGATCAAATGAGCATTTTGATTAAATATCGGTTTAACGGTGTGCACACCCATACAATCTGGAATGTCTTGTTTGTTAGCGAGCACCAAAAGTGGCACCCCAGCTAGATGTTCGGAAGCTATCATCCGATCTGTTGAAGAAAAATCACAAACAATATATTGTATATGAATAATTATTATTAATTAAGTAATAGTTGTAAACTATGTAATAAATTACCTAATTAAAGAATATTAAATAATAATTTGGTTAATTTGAAATTCCTTGAATGCATCATATTTAATAAATTAAGTTCAAAATTAAAGATAAACTAAACTAAACTGTTTAATACTTTTATATGAGATAATCTATACTAATATTATAAAGCTGAAGAGTTTGTTTGTTTGTTTGTTTGTTTGAAAGCGCTAATCTCCGAAACTACTGGTTCGAATTGAATAATTATTTTTTTGTTGAATAGTCCAGTTATCGAGAAAGGCTTTGGGCTATATAACATCACGGTACGACCAATAGGAGCAAAGATATAGTGGTAAATGTGTAAAAAACGGGAGAAATTATTTCATCTTTGAAGCCTTCCGTTGCGTGCGCCGTGAAAACGGTTCAAGATGCACAAAAAATATGTATTACAGAATAATAGCTCTTTTAATGATCTAAAAAACAGTCCACAACAGTATATGTCTATCTTTTAAGATTGACTCACAAAAACCGTTTTTATGGTACCTAATTTGGTCGAAATAATTTGTTTAAGTTGTATCAACATAATAATATTAATCTTTATTCAAATAAACAAATAAATATGTTGTTGATTAAGAGTACTTCATTGTGAATAAAAAAAAACATAGGTTTTATCCTGAAAATTCTACGGGAACTCCACCATTCCGAAAACCCCGCAAGAACGGGAACTATGTGGGAAGAACCAAAAATCTGCCGTAAGTCACTATTCCACGCAGACGAAGTCGCGGCAAAAGCTAGTACTTAATAGAAAGTAACTCGTAAGTTTAACACAAAGTAATAATTAACTAGATGTTTAATAGGTTCAATATTTAATTTAAATCCTCACCAAGGTATCAAATTAAATACATGTATTGGTAAATATGCTATAAGAAACCTTATATAAAAGACATTAAGGCTTAAATTATATATTCATAATTGCAGTTTTATTTGAAAATTTTAATACATACCAAAAGTTTCTTTAGACTCTGAAACCCTTTCTCGATCTGAAGAATCAACAATGTAGATCACACCATGACATTCAGCATAATACTGCAAAAAATAGTAAGTTTGTTTGTGGTATCTAAGTTTATTGACAAAATCTGTTTCAATTAGTAATATTTATGGTATAATAAGTGTTAGTATGTATGTATAGTATAATCAGTTGATAAAATACCTTATCCCACAGCGACTGCAGTTCCTGCTGACCTCCTAAATCCCAGAAATTCAGTCTAACACCATCTACATCTATTTTTCCTATATTTAAACCTACTGTGGTCGTTATCCTATTGGGGTTCATTGCTTTGTATTTTTTAGTAAATTTCGTTTTAGCTGCCTCCAAATATGTCTGTAATGAAATTAATTTTTTTATCAAATAATTTATTTTAAACGATCAACATTATTAGGAACTGAAACAATGTTTTACCGTTTTACCCGCATTGTCAAGTCCTAGAATTAAAACAAAATATTCATCTTTTTGAATAACATATTTATAAAAACCGTGAATTAGCGTGTACATTTTTAGACATTTTAAAGAATAAATAAATAAAAAAGAAAACAAAATCAGGAATGACAAGAAGACGTAGGTATCTAATTTAAAGAAGTCAAATTTCATTCAATTTGACATTTGACAGACTACGTCATTTGACGTTTAGTTAGTTTATAATTTTTGTTCAAGCCTTTAATACTTTCCATTTTTTATCACTCTGCATAACAAAAATGGAATAATTAGTTATATCTTTAAATTATTAAATAAATATAAATTTTCTTAAGTGTTAAATTTCTAGTAATAATCAAAAACACTTTTTTCATGCACATTGAAAGAATTATTCAAGAGTTCTCTTATGAATACCTAGTATGTATATATGTAAATATAAGCTACCATCATGTTCTATCGAATATCAGATTAGTTGATTAAATTGAATATGTATGTAATGAAGACAATTAAATGAAACTAATATTTTCCAGATATACTACGTGAATTTATTATTTATAAAAACTATATACCCCCGACGTACTCAGCAACCGTGATCACGGGTAGACGAGATGTGAGTAGTATATCCGAAAAATATTAGTTTTATTTAAAAGAATAAGACTCGCGAAAAACTTAGATCTCATTATAATGAAAACATATTGAAATAAATTGGAATCCAAGTCTTATTTACTTTTTAAATATATTAAAAATAAATTTGATCCATATCGTCATAAAAGTATTACGTCAAACGATAGTCTGAACGAATAAGTAAAAGATATATTTAAGAATGCCTAATAAAGATGCTAAGAAAGATCTCAAATCTTTATCCCAAAAGTCTAGTATTAGTGAATATTTATTTGGGGAAGAAATTGTTACACCGCGATCAATAAGTCTTTCTTTGATTCTACAAGAAGAAATTCCTGCATCAAATGAATGGATATTTTTAACTGTATTTAATGGTCATATAATAATAGAAACCAAATGGCACAGCAACCAATGCATACAATATGAAGCTCTATCAATAGATCTGAATCAGCCATCTCATCAGTCGGTGGTCGCTGTATGTCCATTATTTTTTTTGTTACGTCTTGCAGGAGGGAAAGGATCTAAGGACCAGGATCCCTTACTCAGCCCCGATAATCGTGCTGGAGCCACAGTAGATTTGTTTCCTTTTGTTTTAAACGAAGACGAAATACACATAGACGTTCCATTTATTGACATTAACTCAGGACATAAAACTCATTATTCTATTGATGTGACGGCTAAATGTCCAAAGAAAGCCGGTCAGAACAAAATCCCCTTAACACTTACAATGCTTTCCGCGCACTGCTTACCTTCTCCCAGGGAGGGGACAGTTTTTATAAGCTCCATAGCTTTAGACAATATCCATGAGCCTCAAGCTGTTCAATTTGGTATGTCCCTGAGCAGTGCAAATGCAACAAATCTTGTATGGGCGTCAGGTAGTAATGCTGGCTTTGCTGCTAACACTGCATATGCTGTTCCAAATGAAGATATTTATATTCCCGAAGTGTTAGTGAAGCAAGAAACTAACGAGTGCACTTCATTTTATTGGAATTCTGTCACACGTGTCCTTGTGAATGCAGACAGTCTGCGAGAAAGATTAACTGCTCCATTTGTGGTAGAAGTTGCCGGAGTTCCTCGATTTGGAAAGATTGATGTGAGGGGACGATACATGGCATTTGTTGATGGAGGAGTGCTATTGGAAGCTGGACAATATGGAGTAACCGTTTGCGCTAAACTATCTCATTACAATGAAGCTAACTTACCCGAAGGTGTGGACGCTCTTCTAGATTTACCTCCTACTAGTGCCAAAACCAGTGTTCGTGAAACAGACTTGCTAACAGACGAATATGGCCATAGTGCTTATATCGTTTTAAGATTCGATTTATACGAACCATTAATTTCTAAATCTAAAATAGCTACACTTTTTGAGGAGTTGGGTTTTAATGTTCCCTCCGGCCACATCGCTCCGATGGATGAATTACGAGCTGATCAAACGCCTGAGGATCCTGCGTTAGATGTACGACGTATAAGAACTGAAGGCGGGGCATTATCAGTGCACAAGGAATTAAGTGGATTAGCTTGCAGAGGCACTGTCCAAATGAATCAAAGTATTAAAAGGACTGCGGCAAACAAGTTACTATTACGTACGAGATCGTTACTAAAGCAATTTCCTCCAGATAATTGTTCGTATCTGGAGTGGCAAGATACTGTCACCGCTCAGCACGCTGCCTGTCGTCGGGCTGTGACAGCTTCGTTCGCTCCCCAACCACCTCCGCCTCACACTACGTCAAGAATTGCGGCAGCGAGGAGTCGATTGACTGGGAATATGAAAATATCGAATGCACATATACAAAATAATCTCATCGCTGCACCTCACCATCCCAGAGTGTTACTTTCAATGGCCTTGCGTTGTCTCGAACAAGGGAAAGATTCTGAAGCGCACCATTATATTGTAAAAGGGTTGAAGGCACAAGCTAGGAATAGATACTTATTATGGACATTTGGAGGGATGGAGTACAACAAACAAGATTCATATGAAAAAGTCAACGCAGCATTCCGTATCGCTGTGAAAGGAGATAGCTCAGATGGTATAACGGGAGTGGTTGGTTGGGCAGCATTGCACGCTTTTTATCATCACAACCACAATATTTATTCTGCCTTTGTGTCTGCTCGGAAAATGAGAAAGTCTTTTGAATTGAGAAGTGATTGGAAAAAATGGTTACAGCGATGGATAGATACAAGTGGAGAGGAGGAAATATTTTGGATTCCTTCAAGTTTGGACACTAAAAACCCGTTTGTAATTGCATCTGCGTTTTTACTTTGCTTAAGATGTTATAGCTTCAGTGAAAGGCTCTTAAAATGTGCTGAAGATGGGTGCGCTACTCGAGGATCTCGATTTGGTTCGCAAACAGTGCCTCCTGTAGACATTTTTTATTTGAGATCTTCTTCCTGTTTATTACAGCGTCAGTTAGACAAAGCGCTAGAATTAACAAACCAGGGCATTAAAAGGTTCGGGCCTTCCGCTATGATGTCTCAAATGCGTGCAATTTGCCTGACATGTCTCAATGGATGGGACGGTGAATGTGAGAGTGCGCTTGTTGAAGCTGACAATCAAGGCGCTGCGCCATGCCCTCTGTTATTATTACAGGCTGCATTAGGCGGAATGAATAACGATCCTACAACTGCCTTGCAACGTGCCGCGAGAGCTCATAAGACTGCGCCGTCAGCGCAATCTGCTCTTGTCATTGCTCGTATATACATGAAGATGGACGAAGATAGCTTAGCTGAGCGTTGGGCGGCTGCAGCGGTGAAGGTGGAACCATTACTCGCTGATGGCTGGGCAGTACTAGCTCTTTTAGCAATGCACAGCCAAGATATTGATAAAGCCAGGGCGATGATGCGAACCGTGAAACAGGCTGGCCCTATCAGCTCCGACATTAACGACAAATTAGTAAAATTAATGAAGATCCTGAATGTTGAAACACTTCCAGACGCTTTGGTGAAAAATATTTGTTTTTGCAATTACTATTGATTTTGTTTAAAAACTCTCTATGTCCGTACGTAGTTATTGTTATCATGATTTATATTGAAAAAGATCTAAAATAAAAGTGACTTTTATTACTTATTACATCAGCTACCTCTCACAGTAAGTAAAAATTCTGCCACAGTCAATCACACAGACAGACAAATATACAAAAATTATATTCTTCTTATAATAATAACTAATAAGTATGCCTACTGTGCCTACATCTACGAACACTTAGTTAAAAGCGGTTCTTTTAATATTACAAACAGAGAGGCCAAATATATTTGTTTGTTACTTCACATTATTAACAAAATATACATTCTTTTATTCCCTAACAAAAGAGACACAAATAATAAGAACTTTAATTACTTAAACGCTCCCAATTACAGGATCAAGTAATTAAATGATCTCGCTATAAATGTTGCTAGTTGGTACTAAGTAAATTATAATTGAGGATACAGATCAGCTGTTTATTTTAAATCGTTGAATTCTTAATGTTTTTATAATGATTATTGTAACCCGAAACGTGTAACACTTCATATAAAAGGAATTTTACAAATACCGAACTTGATCTTTGTTGTTAGATAACATTATAAATATTATAAATCATTTAATGATTGTTTACATTTATTATTACTACAGCATAACTTAAGATACGATCCGTACATGGAAATGTTACAGCGATTGTTATTATCGCACCTTACATTTAGTGGGTCGATCGTTGATTATATCTGATACGGTTTTGATAAGAGATATTATTAATAGAAAGTTTTAAAATTTAGTAATACATGTTCAGGAACAAGCGCACGGAATTAGAATTGTCATTAGCTATTAATACATCTTAAAGCCAGTGTAACGCAAGTGAAATATTGTCGTCAGCTGAACTAGGTTAAATTACGAGGCTCGGACTTCATAGTAAATATGATTTTTATCATCACGATAAGCTGATAAGGTTGCATACGATGAAAACTAAATAATTTTTCCGACTATTGTTCCGTAAAGAATCTAACTATTGTAACGTCTGACCGAGATAATCTAAGTGCAGATAAAAGGTGGTTTATTTCTGTGCGTCTGTGTGTAGTTGCATCGTCAGTCGCGAGTTAAACGAAGCGACATACAGACATTCCCTGAAGTGGAACGCTTGCGGTCGTGTTTTGTTTTGATATAAATCCAACATCCCTGACATGTGAACGCGACGATGGCACTCTCATCGAATTGCTGGAAATATCTCGTCCTGACCTTCAATGTTTTGTTCGCTGTGAGTTTTTTATATAATATATTATTCCGGCTTTCCTATGACACCCGTTACGCTGATTCAGCGTATTTGTGTTGTCATAACAACTTGATATAAACTCCGAGTGAAAACAATGTTCATTGCAACTTCACGTGTTCAATCTTCTCACAATTCTTGACAGTCACCTTATAAATTGAACCCAATTTAAACGAAGAATACCGCTCGTTATCCGTGTCATTGAAATACAAAAGAAAATCTTCTTATATTTAACTAATTAATTGGTTTGAACACTTTTCATGCAAGTTTCTTTATATTTTGGCGCTAGTGTTCTCATAAATCCGTACACCTATAGTTTTCATTGTTTTAATAGGTACATTTTGTAATCTTTATTGTGTCGTATTATAACGTAGTTCCTTTTCTCCTCAACAGATGTCAGCTGTGGTACTTTTCTGTACGAGTGGATTTCTTCTATACAAGCTATTCATTTTTAGACATTTTATAGGAATAAGTGTGGAATATCCGGCGATATTGTTATTAATGATGGCTATAATAACCTGCTCCATTTCGTGGATCGGTTGGAGGACTGCGAAATCTATGCATCAGATTCACGTCATAATTGTAAATATACTTTGTATTTATTTTATTTGTAATTAATAATTATATTACACATATTAATAATAATACAGAAAAAAAAACCTAAAAAAAAACCTAATAGAATGTAACTTGGATTAAAAACACTGTTTTTGATATACTCATAAGTGTAATTATATAAAAGCGCCATCTATCGAAATGTTGATGATTTAAAAAAAACAATTCGGAACTTATTTTTTATACTTAATGATTTCAGACGGCGTTATTAATAATACTAGTTGTGGTGATCGAGTTTGCCTGCTTCGTTTGGGCGATGGTGGTCTGGGACAACGTAGAAATTGATATAAAGACAACCATGACATCTTATTTCATGATGTCCAACGCAAGTAAGGAGACCAATACAGATTCCGTGAGATGGGATCGGTTACATGTCAAGGTAAATATGATTAAAATTCCTATTATTATTCAATAATAAGCAGTGACGTATGAAAATCATCTATTTTTATCATTTAGGGACAAGAATGTATCTGTATATATAATTTATTTAAAACTATTATTGTAGCAATTCTGGTTTAAATTTAAATACCATTAAATTCAAGTACCTAGTTACTTTAGTTCGATTTAAATTTCCATGTATACGTGCCTGCCTGCTTATACTTTCTCTAAAACTGTTTCGATTGACACGTCATGAAGCGGCAATTATCAGCAAGCTTCAGATGATTTCTATGACTGAAAAATATAGAAGAATAATTTCTTTCCAGTTTGAATGTTGTGGAGTGAGTGGTCCCAATGACTACAGCGCCGCTGGCCACGTGCCTTTTTCATGCTGCGGCCAGGGTCCTTTAGACTCCATCCAAAAACCTTACACATCTGACTGCAGCACCCTGTATCAAAGAGGCTGCGGCAACTTGCTGCATCAGTACGCAAAAGAGCAGCTGCTTTGGGTCGCCATGACAGCGTTGACGGCGTCATTGCTTCAGGTTAGCTAATCCCTACTAATATTATAAATGCGAAAGTAACTCTGTCTGTCTGTTACGCTTTCACGCCTAAACCACTGAACTGATTTTAATGAAATTTGGTACAGATATAGAGTTGACCTTGAGAAAGAACATAGGATAGTTTTTATCCCAGACTTTTGAAAGGTTCTCTTGGAAACGGAATATAGCCGAACCGAACCGAACTAGTTCATAATAAACTTCTCATTAATCGAGGTTTTAGCGGGATATATTGGGCATATTTTGCTAATCAAAGAACCACAATTAAGTATAGGTTGAATTGGCCATTTCAAAGCTACATCGTATTTGTCACATCATGTGGCAGAGGAGTGATTGTTAATTGTTACCCTTCTATACGATGTGGATAATACTATTTCAGTTTTTATGGATAACAGACAGATAATCCGTACATTTAATTTTAAAACACTTATCTATGACTATAGATATATAGGCCATATAATGTATTGGCTAATTGCTGCACGGTAATTTCGATAACTTTTATAAAATACTAGTTTCATTCCACAAAACCTGAATTAGGTAAATATGTATTAATTGATAACGTAATCAATAATTTACAGTGACCTCTACCTCGTTAATATAATATAATTATGACAAAACTCATATCAATAGTGATTATAGGTCCCATGGGTTTCAATGGTCGCCAAGCAAACATCACCACTTTGTTATTAGAATATCTTCTATATATATAAAAATGGATTGCTGTTCCTTAGTCTCGCTAAAACTCGAGAACGGCTGAACGGATTTATCTTATCTTAGTCTTGAAATGTTCGTGGAGGTTCAGGGAATGTATAAAAGCTGAAAAAAATTGATTCATTACTGGGAAAACCATAAAAACAGCCCCTTTCTATTTCCCATACAAACGTTTTTTTTGACATTAGATTTGACAACTAACTAATATGTCAATCATTCTGTCGCACTTCAAAACACGGTATAGATATTTTTTGATTATAGGGCGATACGAAGTTCGCCAGGTCTTCTAGTATTATATAATTAACATTTAACCTCGTAACAATAGTCTAGGTTTCTTCGATGTGTCTACTGTCTAGAGAGACACTCATTGTTTAATATTCCTGCAACATTATTCCGCTTAGGACTTGTAGGACCCCCCGTCTATGTTAGTATAACTAGTCACTGACTCACTACTACCCCCGCCTAGAGCGCAGGCGCATGTCACCGTTCTGCTCCGCGCAAGTCGTGAGACTGCCGAGCGAATGCCGCCCCCTCTAGTGGGGTACGTGAGACTGAATTATATCTATTGTATAGATACAAACACTACAGGATATTTTTATGTAATAAAATATCAAAGTATGTGTGAATTACTGTGATTTAAGGTTGCGTTGAGTGTCACAAAAATATTTGAATATGTAAAGGGGGGTTGGCATTTTTTTAAATATAATTTATAGTTGATTCATATATGTGAAAGTCAATAGTTTATTACTTTGAAAGTGTCAATATAAATAATACATGGGAGGCCTATGTTTGTAGGCGTTTTATTTTCTATTCTGATATAGGATGCTTTTATTGATTTATTAGTGTATGTGTATGGAAAGTTAAATTTATCGTACTATTCATCATGATAAAATAGCATCGCTACATTGTAAGGCGTATTATTATGGAAATCATATACGCTTGTGATTTTTGTTATAATATTTTACATTTTTAATATCTTAATGGCGTTCATTTTCTGACCAATAATATAATAAAATTATACTAGCTAAGGCAAAAAAAAACAAACATACAAACCTAAAGAAACATTCCAGAAAGAAATCACGTTCTTTTTGGTCTAGGAAGAATTTAACGCTGCTAGAAAACATGGTTATAAAAGAGATCTTCAGTAAATGTGTAACTTTTGTCATTTATGACTAGAGATGACAGCTTCCGAAGTGCGATCTTCACTGAGTGTCACAGGCGAAGCTTATGTAGCCTTAACTAGTTAGACCAACTGACCAACTGCAGATTTTTGTAATATATATCATTTTCGTTAGTCCTGAGGCTTTGACGGCATTAGCGGAAAGCTAAAGCTTCCTTATTGTCTTTCATAAACGCATTTCCTTAGGTAAAAGACTGAAAACTGTTTAGTATAACGATTCTAACTTTCGACAAGGGTACAGGCTTTAGCGTACAATTGACATTACAGAATGACTAAAAAAACTTACATAGAACTTTTGATTCTAGTTCACTCTTAACAGCATATACGTTTATCAAAAGCATGGTTTAAAGTGGATGCTGGTGATTAGCAGCTTCAGTAGTATTGATTTATTGTTATTTGACATTCTGCCTACATATTACAGGATAAAAAAGTTTCATCATAAGTCGTAATTAATAGAAGGGAAAAATATTATAGCAGAACTTATAAAATCGGGTTTTTAAAAAGTATAAGACTGTTTTTTTATATAGTCTATGTAAAGAGGTGTAAAACTCTTTCTATTAGTTATCACGACTTTGATTTATTTACATATTTTTGCCTTTTATTTATATATTTATTATTTGGTATAAGAAAAATAACATATACGACCAATTTGAAATTGTTTTGTTAGTGTTCGTTTCTGTAAAAAAAAATAGATAGTAATATACAGAAAAAAAATAATATACCTAAACAATAATATAATTGCTTAAATACAGATTTGCTATAGAGACATGAAATACTTTACCGAATCCGAAGCCACGAAAAAAATTATAGAAGAAGGTGAAGCATTAAGCCGTAATACCTATTCTGTTAGAAGTATTCCCGTTTCTTGAAGCTATTATGGAGGAAGTTTACTTATTCCATGTGATTGCTGGAACTAAACCACAAGCATAAACTAAACTACATCTTTACCTATGGCTTGCAATGACTGCCTGCTTCAAAGGAAACTTATACATTAAGACTGGATACAGGTTGGCTATACGTCTCACGTGACGCACTGATGAGATTACTGAACTTTGCACTTGGCTGCGAAAAATGACTTATTAAATTAAAAAGCTAAAGGCCATTCCAAAACAATTTTAGTAAAATTAACATAGAAAATAACGCAAATAAGAGTAGTTTTTCAGCATGCCTTTGCATTGAACTTAAACGTGAACTGTATAAAATATAAAATCAAAAATACTACTAAAATCACAGCTCCGTATAGAACTAACACAGGTAGTTTACAGAAGTGAACGTCATGATACAAAAAGCTTTTGCTAACAAATCACAGATTGATAGTAACTTCAAAGAAAACCCGATCTTGACATATAGCAAAGTTGGGTCCAATCGGAAATTACACGTTCCAGCCACTCCTAAGTCCTAACAAACAAAAAATCATGATATTATGAAATTATGACCCATGATAAAGACAAATTTATAATGCAAATATGTCGTCACTTAAATAAATAACAATTAAATTGAGAAATTAAGACTTTGCTAAATAATTACAAAAATTATCATAGAAGCAAGGAACTTTGACACTTATACTAGTAATACATACTTAAATAGCGTCTTTTAAAACAAAACAATTTGCGAGAAATATGTTTTAAAAGAGCTACATGTTATCATCATTCAGATATAAAACTTTTGTACTGGTAATACCTCATAATTTGTTTCATTAACATAACCATATATCTTATTTCATTACTCTGGCATCAGCTAAACTGTGATCATTGATGAAATTTATTTATTCTGAAGGTTGCATCGAATCCTCCTTATGTCTATTAATTTTTCGTAACATATTTTCTGACTTAAATTAATTTAAGTGTTTGCTTAATGTTTCCTTAATGTTAGAAGCATATTTATAAGAATAACGCTTAACTGGTTTATGTGCCCGCTAATCTCAAGGTATTCATATCAAAAGATGTGTGTATATATTTATTTTATCATATGAAAAACACTCTAAATATAAATATAGTTTGGTGGATATCGGTGAAGCAGTGCTAGAATATCAGCTTTTTCAAAATGACGTAAGGCATTTCTGACCTGTGATTAACCGATGAAGAACCTCACTCATACCAGTATAATAGTTAAATTATAATAAATGTTTTTTTATTAAATAATTTTTCTTCGTAATATTTAAAATAGTCTGTCACTGTCCTCGAAAATTAGGTTTCGTGAGATCCTTATTTCATTTTTTACATTTGAAGTCCCAGAGATGTGTCCTCAAATCTAACATATTCGAAATCTAAAATACAGATTCAACTTTCAAGATACGTATTTTCATCTTAAATACTTTTTAAAAATTTGGTCACTATCTCAGTATTTTATAAATATTTTTCTATGATATAATATTTTTAGTAATAACTAATAAAACTTTATATAATGAATGGAGACTTTACAGTGTAGAAGGAATATAGGAGACAAAAAAATTAAACCAGTGTACTTTAGACCACAAGACTGAAGTAAAACTTCGCTCCATTTTCCATACATCCATTCATGTATATAGATTTTTATCGAAAAATTTTATTTAAAAAAATCCTATCAATTTGTCTATTTGTGTTTAAATTGACCTTGCAATGAAGGAACAGAGCTTATTCTTCTAATAATAAGTTGCATGAAACAAATTTCATTATTAATGGCCTTATAAATAAGAAAAACAATCTTATTGGCAACACAACTATTAGGTACTCTGGAACTAAGGTGACGCAAACATTTATATAGTTTGAAATTTGAAAAAACAATTATCATATAAACACAAAATCAAGAGAACAAACAATTAAAAACATCGCCAGTATCCACAAAGTTATACACAAATAAAAATAATGAAACGGCGGCCTTGTCACGTGTGACGTCACAAAACAAGATGTCCGACAAGCGTTAAGGAACAAGGATCGATTTCTCTTATACGAAGTAAGACGTATACCAATCGTAAATTCCGATAGAATTCAATGAACCGTATCAAGGATGTTGCATCCTCATCCTTGTTTTCATTTAGGAGTGTCTATTATTAACGAAATGTTTTGTAATGTTTACGATTTTTATAATTACAAATACGAAACGAAGTAAAATCTGTTATCGAAAAGCGTTTGAATTTGTCAAAATGACATAAGTCTGACGTATAAAGTTTTCAAGGCATTTTCAATAATATCTACTGTATAAATCTACTGTTTTCTTAAAAAAGTTAAGGGAATGAATTAGAAAAAATGTTAGGAATTTTATGGATTACTATCCCATTTAAAACTTTACATATTTAACTGTACGCATTAGTTGTAATTACTCTAATAAAAAAATTCCATATAATTAAATGAGTCATAGTATAACATTCACATGACATAAAGGTTTTATGCAAAGTTCAGTACCTAAAGCGGTTATCAACGCGAGTAAAACCGGCAAAATAGTACCATACATGACTTATATGTAATTAGTACTAATATATATAAGTATATATACAAGTGTATTACATAGGATTATTTTTCAGAACGTATGATTTCTTAAAGTAGGTCTCAAATTAATTTCTATCATTTGTACTAACAGATTGACCTACTAACACAACCAGATCACAGATTATATAATTATACTAACATTTATTCGCTAGCCTTCGATTGGATTGTTGTAAAAGCTACTAATATATTCTTTAAATTATACTTTTCTACCACCCAAACCTTGTAATACCTCCGTGACGTCATCATGACGTGAAAATAAACGTTTTTAAAATATCACGACCTCAAGCATCTGGAATTATAAGGCAGAAGTATGTGTTCGGATGTAATCGCGTCCATAGTGGGCAGACGGCCACGGCACGCGCTACATACAAGGTCACGCATTGTTACGTGTAATAAAACTAATATATTACGAAGAATGTGTTGAATGTATAATTATGTTTAATCATCATCCCGACTGGGACTGATCTATTGATTACGAGTTACCTTCGAGTTACTTCAAACGGTTACTTGAAATTTGCATACAGAAATTATCGACAGTCTTTATTTAAAAGAATGGTAGATTACGTGTACCACAAGTTTTTTTTTGTCTTCATACGAAGCGTTGCAGAGTTTTTCTTTTAGAAGCGAAGATTTATTGATGAAATACTGAACTTAAGAGCTCTGTTTGAAGTTGGATGGAGACTTGTGATGCAGGTCCATCATAGCAAATGCATAACATACATTATAATTCAATATGTAAATTATAATTTTAAACCTCAAGTACTTCTGGAGCCCTTTAAAGGAGTAAACGAATCAACTTTTTCTTTTGATATCAAAATCATATCAATTAAAAAAGTTAATAAAAATATAATTTATTAATTGTTTAATAAATATTCTGATTTCTACACTTAAAAAATTAAAAAAAATTGAAGAAATAACAACTTAATAAGCACTTTGTGTATAGCAACAAATATATTATATATTAAAATTTACATATTATATTAAAATCAAACAAAGTAGCGAAACTGACTCTCAAGTCTCAGCCAGTAATATTTTTTATATTACGTCATATGAGAACTTAAAAATTCCCAAAAAACATTAACACTTATGAGAATGTTATTATTTATTTAAGAATAACTTCCTCTGTTAAATAAAACAACTTATAACTATGTAGGCATTATTTAATCTGTCTTTGTGACAGTCTCTTATCGTTGAGTTACCATAGATAAAAACTAACGACGTATAAATAATTACGTTCAAGATAAACGTATATAATAATAATCCATTATAAATTAATAAACTAATTTCCTTTAATTGTTTTTTATAATTATTGAAGCTACGTAAATACTTAGTAGGTGCATTCTTTACAAAACGATATTATGCTCTTAGATCTAGGTACTGAATTTCCTTAAGTTATTTATATTATAATATACTAGCATTATGTACCTATACTTTAATTTAGAATTTTATAAAACGATATATTTTATAGAATAATGAATTTAAGTGTCATATTCATTAAACCTATTTTCGAGTGCGTACAACCTTGCTCTTAATTGAATGAGATCGCTCGATGACGTCATATGCTTATCTTGACGACGTACTGGAATTTAAAACCTAAAGTAGTTCAGGGGGCCTTTATATAGAGTAATTAAATATACTATTTGTTGGTAGCAGAAATATAATAATAAAGAAAAAAAACAATAATGGTAAATGAAAGTATTAATCCCTATATTTGCTACTGATATGGTTTTGCGTAATATTTACATTAATTGGGAAATAAATATGAATCAACATATTCCAATAAGTCATTGACGGCTGACATTACAGTTACAATAATTATAAATAACTTAAAAGAGGTTTTATATAAACTATATCATTTAACAATAATTACATAGATTATAAATAAATTATATACATAATGAAAAGGTCATAAAAAGAATGAAAGAGGATGGTCTAATCAAGCGCATATATGAGACGCTCTGTCACCTGTTGATGCGTGGGAACAAGCGGCGTAGTGATTACACCGTCCTTGTTTATTATATAGACACAGACAGAGATGGAATATCCAAGAGATAATTGTGATTAAGGCATCACTGGGGACTCTAAAGAGATCACCTCCGCAGGGGATTCAGGAGATGAATGATTGCGTTTGATATGGTAGGGTTATAATGATACCTCGCATTACAGCGTTTATACACTGACATATAATGACTGTATACTAAGTACGAACATTGTACTTGCACAACTACTAAATGAAAATACATTTAATCTTTTTCATTTACGTAATACACATTATTTTATTTAATGAACTGAAATATAAAAAAATAATGTCATTACGCCCGCGATAATGACGCCATGTTGACAGTTGTTGCTATTGTTTGAAAATTGTACTGAGATCCAAGATTATTATAGCTGTTGCAATAACTAACGTTAACATTTACTAGACAAGAGAATTTGCTTAGTTTTTTTTTATATGTAGATTTATATTTGTATATTTATATTTTTCTGTTTTGTTCACACGACCGCCATTTTGGTTTTTGCTAACTCAATTAGATGATTTATGTTACATTGTCCTTTTAGACAATACAAAGACTGTTAGTAATAATATTTAAAGAAATTCGATATTCAACAAAACCGATGAAAAATAGTTATTTTGTAGCGTTTGTTTCTATAAGAACAACACTGCCACGGTCTGTTGGCGATTTAAATTGTAACTAAAGACTAAAGAACTCATTGTTCATCTAGTAGGTTGATTCACGACGCTTAGAATCAGTTCCTCAAATTACAGTCATTAAAAAAAACAAAGACGGCTTTGACTGATGACATTTTTATATAACGTTTTATTCATAACTTTTATTTTTGTTCTATACATTCTAAAATATTAATGCACATACAAATAGGATGATTTTAGAAATTCCACTATTAAATTACTTATTTCTAAGTAAAAATAAAAAAAACATGTGTCTATTCTGTGATATAAGATAAAGGTGTATCAAATATAGCTGGGTTATGTTTTCAATGTGCGGAAATACCCGATTAAGTTACAAATATGGCATGTTGCTATTGAATGCAGTTAATATACAACTACAACTCTTTGTTATCAAATGTATACTTGTTGTAATATCGGTCATAATTACATACTAAGTGACTGTGTTATTTGTATGTATATGGATGAAATGTTGCATAAATTCTAACGTTGGCGTATTGTGCAATTTTAATATATGGCAATACCGACGTAACGAAGGCAATGATGTTTTTGATATTTTGACACAAATATATCGTTTTTTTACGTAATGACTCCCTAGCGTCTCTTCTTTATTAATTACTAAATAGGAATAGACTTTCAGTCATTAAACAACGGGACGTCATATTAAAATAAATTTGTATTGAATTTAATTTAGAAATAGAAACGTGTATATCACACGCTATTTGATTTTTTTTATAAAAAAGCTTTTTTCAAATAAGTTTTAATTTACTCTTACTATAATATATTATAAGGCTGACCTTACGTGACCGTGAAGATTATATCTACTATTTTAATCAAAAATAAATATTTTTCATTTCTAATTCAGTTAATACTTGATCGGCAATAATAAATGTCTATAATAAAACTATAACAATTGTAATTAACTACGTAACGAGTAAAAATGATCTCATACTTGACGTTAATCGTCTTCAGTCACGGGTTTGTCCACTGATGATGACTCAAATCATATTAAAAAATACGTCCAATATGTATTGATGATTCGATCAATAATTTCTAAGTTATAATGGGAAAATTATTATAATATCAATAATTTCGTATATCAAACTTTATTATTGAACCTTATAAAGATAATCATTAATTTTCTACTAATATATAGTTTGTTTTCAGAGTTCTGGCATCTTCTGTACTTTCTTCCTCGCTCACGCTATAAAAGAAAAACGGAGAGCTTCCATACGTCACTCGATGTCAGTCAGAGAGAATTTCGCGCCAGATGACTCTCTACTCGCCCCACCGACCGCTCCCAATCCGACATTGCCGAAATATTAAAGACTGTTTCATTCAGAAGCTGTCACTAATATCTTGCCTAGAATATATCGTTACTTGTTGCATACTAATATAAATCCGTCCCCAAAACGTTATATTTATATATGAAAAGTAAATGATAGTTGTTTTTGTAGAAAATTTACGACATTTATCTCCAATGTATACTTTGTAAGTATATACAAGTTTTACTCATAAGTAACAGAACAAGCATTTTATATGACAGAAATTATTGACGTGGTTTGAAAAAATCTAACAAATTTTTCATACGATAGTTTTTTTACTGTATATGACTGAATCGATATTTATATACAACGATGATGAGAGATAGCTGTAGCGTAGTTTTAAAATCAACTGTAAGCTTTTAACTAAAGATAACTAGTATCTAAAAGAATATAATTTGTATAACACTAACACAAGTACGAAAGAAGTATAAATATTGTGTTGGAGTTATGAAAATATCAAGAGACGAACGTAATTATTAGTTTTTCGACACTTTGGTACATTACGATTTTCGACATCTATGAACAGCATTTCAACAAATTTAATTAGTACACCATTTTTATTATTGTATTACTTGTACTATATTATATTTGTACTAGTTTAAATCGATTTGGTTTAGTTAAAGTTTCAAATATGGATATATAGGTTACAATAATACATTTGCTGACATATCACATGTCATAACTTTTTCTGTCACATTTACAATAATGACATATCTGTTTAGGAATATAACGTTGAGTGAGAACTCAATTAAAACAAATTGTTAGTTTAATTACTAACATCGCGATGGTTTGTGAGTGTTTAAAAATGAATCATTATCACTTCCAGTGTTATTATTTTTTCCTTTTAAGTCACAATGTAGCGTAAGTAGAATTAGGAATATAAAATATAACATAATATATTTATAATAACAAAATGACTCAAGCGACGTGCTTTCTATGTAAGTAATAAAAAATACTGCCAATTCTTTACCGACAATTATTTTTTTTATTACTTAGAATGACATTTATGTTTATATGATTTATATAATATTTCTAATAAAAATTTAAAATATATTTGAGTTTTTCATTCAATGTCCCTTGTAATAGAAATTATTATATTTTATTACTTTTCTAAGAGATTTAAACTAAAAAGTATTTTATATGATAAATGTTAACCACATCTATGACCGTTATAAAATATAAGCCCACTACTCGATCTCGTCCATACAATTTTAAAAGTGGATTAGACAAGTCATAAAACTAGTTTTAAATGGGTATTCGTTTTAAATCATTTTAGTTTTTTTCCCGCTTCGGCTGTAGCTATCATGCAAAATAATAAAAGCAACGTGTAAATTTAAATGTCACGAAAAATACTAAAAACTTAAGAATGGTGTGTTACCAAAATAGTCATTTATTAAATAATTCTTTTCTAGATTTTTTGTTTGTATTACAAATATGACCTTGCTTTTAAGGTTTTACTCTAGTAAAATTACTCACATAAATTTGGGTTTGTGAACATATTTAAATTATTGAATTTAGTATACAATTCGATAGATGTATATTTAAATAGTAAATTAGTAATGGTACTACTGTTTGTTGTAATGGAAAGTATAAACCATGATCGCTCAGCTTTCCCTCGTGGTTTGCTAAGTAGTAAGTTGTTCTACGGGAGGCATGTCGCTACTCTTTCTCGATGAAAGCGAATACCTAAGAAGTACTTATATAGAATTCTAAATACTTAATATAGATAACATGTTTAAATTATTTACTCTTAAAATAAACAAACAGTCAATCAAAATACTAATATAACATTCTTTACAAAAATGATCTCTGCCCTTAGAAAAACTTCTATCGTAAGCCTAGTCCGAACTGTCACATAACTTTCGTTATTTCGTATTAATTTACGATGAAAGCGTGTCCTAAGGTAGATTGTGTACAAAAAGAAATCATTGAAAGAAGAGATACTATAGAAACTCAACACGTTGAGAACATTCCGCATTACAACGGTTTTATCAGTGTAAATATATGACCTAGAAATAAATGCATTTGACATTAGTTATAATTGTCAACTATGTACTTTCATAGACTATAATTTGTAACACAACGGTTTTTTATTTTGTTGGATTAAAAGCTAGGGTGCTATTAAATATTGTTATATCTTGATTGACATACAATGTAATATCTTTTTTTTTATATTAAAAAATATTCCAAATAAGGTATGAGTTCTAGTATAGTCTATGCTGAATAGATAATAACATTGGTTAAAAATTTAAAATTCATTAAAATAGATTATTAATTAGATGTAGAAACATTATTCGTATAAGTGTTAATTATTGTTAATATTGTTTACTGACAAAATCTACATACCTTAAAAGAAAGTCTGAATTTAGCTTGTCTAGGCACGTACTGAAACGTGATTCATGAAATGAATTCCTCACACGTCTGCATTGAAAGATATCGACAAATTATATTTCCGCACTCTAAATTCCACCTTTTTTCCATTTCCATTCCAAACAAGGAATGGATTCCACACAAGAATTTATACATATTCATTTTATTACATTCAAACAGATTTTCAAAATAGTTAAAATTTCTGTGAAAAAAATCAAAATTTTCTCCATTATAACAAAGAAATACAATTAAAAATTAGTCAACGTCAATGTTTGATGTATACTTTTCAGTACGAATTAGGAAAAGTATGCTGTCGAATTTAAGTATAAGTACATACTTATTTTCTAGGTAGATGACAAAATAAAATAATAAAATTATTGAAAGTATTTTCTGTTTAAAAGTTCCCAAAACTTAACTTTTTGTTTCAGGTGTAATGGAATCTGCAGTTAATAATTTACAAAAAGTTTTTATTTTGCATCCATTCAAATTACTGGTCCTTATCGAAACAGTCAAGTGAACTAGCATTGGATTTTAGATCAGTTGAATTTTAAAATTTAAACGCTTACATTCCTATAAATAATTTCATAAAATTATAACTAATTTACATTTATCCTTATCTTTTGATGCATGTTAATTGAATAAAATATAGATTTTAAGTATGTAATGAGTTCAGAACAATGCTACAACAGTGTTTCTTTTCGATAAAATGAGGATAAAACTCATATTTGAGATGAACCAGAACGAGATAGGCAAGGATTCGATGATACTATAGTGTCGAGTGGAAGGAGGATAGAGAACGCGGGGTCACGATTCGTGAGTAAGCACAGGGGGGGGGGGGAAGCGTCGCCATCGCGATCTCGGGTTTATTTTCATTTAGTCGCTTTCAATACACCATCGAGGTCAGTTTGTGCCGCCGCTGCGTCGATCTCGTAAACAAGTCTATCCGTGAGTGATCGCCGTGTTTTGTGTGACTCAATTGCTGTGTTCAATATGGGGTGTGGATCTGGTTTTGTGAAATATGTGCTGTTCTTCTTCAATCTGGTGGTTGCGGTGAGTTGGGGTAAAGGGCGGGAGAACCGGTTTCTTTACAATAATGGTCAGCGAACAGTAAAATCCACGGTTGGATGTGGCCCCATGCTCGTTTGTGAGTGACGGAATGTAGTTTTTGATCCCTTTTTATTTGATCGCTAACCGTGACTGGAGTTGAACGTAAGCTTGCAGTAATAGCCAAGAGTGAACTATTTATAAGTTAAAGTATAAAATATAAAGCTTTTAAGTCCAGTCTCTAAAAGTAATCGCAAATAATCCTTTATTCTACTCTTAATATATCATTGGAACGGTTATACAAAGAAAATTTTTGTATTTACTGAAACCGTTATATAGTGTTGAGACACACGACAGGCTCTTCGGTAACTTCAAACATTTGTCTACTTTCTCTGTCACACTCCAGAAATACAGTGCAGACAGAAAAAGAAAGAAGGTCACGTTCTTCGCACCATATACTTGTCTTGCAGCCTTAAGTGTTATTTTGAAGTCGTCACTTGACGTACTTTAAAAATTATAAAGCTTTATTTAACTAACTAGTCTCATAAAGAGTAATATTTGCAACGTAATAGTAATTTATTGTTTAAACCATTGTAAAAAACACTCTGACTCAATGTCAGACAAGGAATGACATCACTTGCGGTTATAGCCATTGCAAAATGTATTAGGCGTCATACCTCGATTTGCATGTACTGTATTCAAGTGATAATTGTTTTATGATCTCACTACAACTAAGTCAAATACAAACAATAAGACAAATACTAGTATAATTGCCACTGCATACATATCTTTTACCGCAGTCGGCCATGGTAAACTTTTTGATAACAAAAAGACTAAAAAAGTTTTAATATTGTAATGCAACAGTTTATTCAAATAAATTAGATACGCTTGCGTGTCTAAAGACTCTTACCTGTTCACCCCCATTAAACAGGTGGTGTTGTATTGAATATTTAATTATTATGAACTTTTATGTGATCGCTTCCTATAATCGCATGACTCAAATAACATTTTGGCACCTTATTCATCACACCAAGTATGACGTAATTATGTCATCATTCTAGTTAATTAATTACCTAAATTTCATATAGTTTAATTAAATAATTAGATATATATTTTTAATGAATTGGTCATTAAAATTGTTAGACTATAAATTTTATTGAATTTGAATTCGGAACACGTAAATATGCCAGGGGGAAGTCCCTGAAGGAAAATTGAAGACGTGTCCCAATGTAACTTACCTTTGGTTTGTACAATAGTTGTTACTTGAAGGTTACTTCATGTAAACAGTTGATTCGTTGATTACTTACAGGAAAACGCTAATGCAATAGTTTTTATATCTACATGTCTATAGTCTATAAATTTAAATTTTTAATCTATAATGCTACGTGAGTGTTATTGAAATTTCCTTGTAAGCCAATACGAAATAAATAATAATAATGTTTCAACATATTAAAAATTCATTCATTACATTGATAATTATCCTCTCTAGGAATAAATAATGAAATATGATACATACTATGAGGTTATTTAAGTAGCAAGTGTATCGTCCATGTTAATTCCTAAAACTGAGTAGTAATTTAATTAGTAAGACGTCACTAATTTAGGTGTCCGTAGTAAGTTGTGGTGACATCATCTGAGTTGTGAGACGCCATCACGGCGCCTGCATTGTTATATAGAATTTATTAACACTCCCATAACTAAATAATACCCCTCTTAACTCATGCTACACTGCAAAATACACTGTATTGTAATATTTTTGAGACAAAACTATGTTGTATACTGTATCAATTGCTTTGAGTAGTTTTGCGTTACGGAAAAATCATGAACTTTAAATGAATTTTTATACATATATGTAATTCTAACATGAATTATTCTCTATTAGTTTAAGATTCATAAAACAACGTTGATATTTTCGTAACTCCATATGAATGATCTGACAGATATTTTTATATTAAATTTGTTCTAAATACATTATACACATATATGGACACTTCCAGATAAAAACTTATTCGATTCTGTAATCAGTATGGCGTCCATCCGACTATCCTATTAAAATTTTAAAAACAAGCTTGTTGGAATGTATGTTTGTATGTTGTTATGTATGTTGGTCTATCACATGAAAACTACTTAACGGATTTCAATTATTTTTCACAGTTACGTAGAATAGACATCGTATCAAAACAGTGTATAATTTTTGTCGAAATTTCAAGTTGTTACCTCAGTCTAAAACTTTGTGTTTTATGTTCTATATCACAGATCATAGATGTCGCTGCCAGTTGATCAAAATATCTATTGTTTCAAATTCACTTTACATTTTCTTGAGCTCTAAAGTTAAGGACAGGTACGCGGGCCAAAACTAGTATAACACAAAAACACTTTAAAACCGATTAGCGCTATCTTTGAGCGAGTTAATTCGCTGAACCTGTTTTATTCTAGATATTGTAATGGATGTAGCGATGCCATTTTTGTAATATGTTCACGCCACATCCACACGACCTTGGTTAAACTATTTTTATTTGAACTGTTAAATACTTCATCTTAAGTGGATATAAATAGTTTGTACCTACTCATATTATAAACGTTTTAGTTAAACTATTTTCAAAATGGTTATTTTTTATGCATTAAATGAGAACTTTTTTGATAGTGTTCGAATGAATCTTCGATTCGACTACTGAGTACGGTATATGTTAATATTGTCTTAATACAAGGGTCATAAAGGCTAAATTGCTTTCCTATTGTCGAGTATAGGGAATAATACCAACCCTTGGTCACGTCTCGTCGCTATATGTACATTTATCGTCCGTCTGTTTCATCCCCCTGTTTGTCGCGACCTTGGTATTATTTAAAACAGTCCCTAACTTCAAGAATCCCTTCATAGGTGAAATTTGGCAACGCTGGAAAAAAATATTCCAAAAACAGTCTATATTTTTCTTTGTATATATGTATACATATATGTATTTTATTGGAAGTATATTTTAACCTTTACTTTACATACTTCTTTCGTAAAGTTTCAGTTTATTTAGTATTTTTTAAAAAACCGATGAGTTATTCCATATTTTATTATATATGTGTTATACTAGCTTTCCGCCCACAGCTTAGCCCGCGTGAGTTCGATTATATCGCGTTTCCAAGAGAACCTTTCAAAAGTCTGGGATAAAAATTATCCTATGTTCTTTCTCAAGGTCAACTCTATATCTGTACCAAATTTCATTAAAATCAGTTCAGTGGTTTAGGCGTGAAAGCGTAACAGACAGACAGACAGAGTTACTTTCGCATTTATAATATTATTAGTGGTTTAAGAAATACCATACGCTAGTGAACATAGTCCACGGTATTTGAACAGTTGATGGATGGTGGCACAAGTGTTATGTGGCCTATAGGTTAACATCATTGAGTTACGCTTAAGATGTTTCGTATGAAAGACCTATGATTTGGGAAAGTGGATAGTGGTACTTGGGCATTAGCCCTGAACCTGGATAGTTACCGCACTTTGAATGAGACCTATGTTCACTAGTAGACAATGAAAAGCTGGAATAAATAAAGATTCACCCATTACTTAAGACGTTTAAATCAGATTGTTCTAAAATAAATATTCGATAAATGAAAATCACATTGAAATCAAATCCTGTATAAAAAGCTTACGTCTAATTGCGTTTTTACATGTTTATATATTTACAATTTATAGATAGGAGTCAAGTTTTAGTCTTTGTTCATTTTCTCTAACTTCTTTATATTTCGACGTATGTAATAAATGTTATATATTTTAAACATAAACTGCTAGTCTTGAAAAATTAATATAAAACAGTTTAGTTATTTTTCCTATGCTATATCCATCGTCTAGTATGTTTTATGCAGTTAGAGCACGGGAAAGAAATTAATTCAATCATAACTCGCCTCTCTCGACACCGCCTCATTAAAATTCATCCCATCTTCCCATATTTTACTTTTAAAGCTATTAATAAATCAAAACTTTCTAACTTATAATTTGAAGCAGTACATCTAAAATGTAAAACTCATAATAAAATAAATGAAAAAGTTAATTATTCTTTGTATTTCGGTAGTTTATTTAATACAACATACATTTGTGATATTTTACATTAAATTAGAATATTTTTATGAATAAACACTTAGTTTTTTTTATTAACGAAATTAAAATTTAACAAGCATCTGTTTGATATGGTACATTTAATCAAACCCTCGGATTCTTGAGGTCAATTACACAACAGATTGTAGAAAATACGAAACCCAAAAGATAAAATAAATATTAGTAGCTATAACTTATGATATTAAATATTAGAATTACAGAAATGACAAACAAATTAAATGTAAATTAATGTAGACTATTGTAACATACACATCCTAAGCACTATAATAATTTCATATCGTTTGTACAGAAACCGAAATGTCTTTTTCATGTACCTAGATATTATAAAATATTAAAAGACGCGTGGCATCCGAAAAATCGTAGTTTAGTTTCATTGAAATGAATACAAGCAAAAAACTTATGTATCACTAAACGATAACAAGTCGAAATCTTTACTGAACATTTACCATAATATTATAGAATTAAGAAACTTAAATATACATACTTAAACAACATCTTAATACACAAATAATTCGTGATGTGTTTTTTTAATAAAACAAAGCGTATTTTCGCAAAACGAGAGTTGTTTCTATTCAAAAATATATCAGCATGGTTTATTTAAAGAACATCTAGGTCGCAAACGGTTGACGACCTCAACTGTAAGGTTTTTATAGCCATGGCCAATGGGAGCTGCTCTGAGAAACGCATTTATGCACTGGATTTAATTAGTTTTCTTATAACGTACATATTTATGTATATTATGCACTTTCTAAGAGTATTTAGACATCACTGATTAATGCATTCCCAAAGGCAGGCGACCGGTCGTAAAAACAATTAGCCAAAACTATTTACCACATGTAAGGCAGACCCTGGCTAAAGCTGGGAAATTGCCAGGTTGAAGAAGACATGCATATTAAACATT